AGTGCAGGAGATGGGCCGAGGAGAGCCCTAGGTACAGTGGGCGCTCTAGCAGGGGCCGACGTGACTTCCTGTCGAGATGAGAAACGGCGCGGCCAGGGGCGCCAGGCGATTGTCCTGCCCTTGGGTGGGCAGCGGCCGAACCTGTGTCCTTTTCTTGGCCTCCTCTTGGAGACGGCTGTGGACAGGGGCTGGAGCAAAGGTGTTTCTGAAGGGAGTTCCGTGGCGAGCGGGGACTGTCGAGAGGCAGCAGTCCCAGGCACTGTCTGCTGTGGGGTGCCTGTGTGGGGTGGGCGCAGCTCCTCTGGGGTCTGCTGGACTTGCTCAGTCACGGGAACCTCTGGCCTCGGGAAGCACGGAGCAGGGCTCTGCCCAGCCCTGCGCCCCTTCCCTCAGCCTGGACCTCTCCCTTCCCTCGACAAACTAACTCCACAGGGGCCCCAGACCTTTCCCGGGGGCTTGGTGGCTGCAGCCCAGGCCTTGGGTCTCAGGGCGGGGAGGGCCCTGTCACAGGGCACTAATCAGAGGGACAGGACAGCCGCGGGCTGCTCTGTGGACTTGCCGGCTTCTGCCCTCGCTAGTGCCGGCACCTGCAGGCCATTTCGCCCGGATCGTTCCCCTGGGTCCAGGTAGCCCCTGGACATTCTTCTCATAGCTGACCTGTGCTGTGTGGGTCAGTTAGGGAAGAATGCTGGGCTGTTCCTAACCCAGGGGTCATTGGAAAATCAGACCCCCCGGAGGCGCCTAGGTCAGCAGCTTCGTGGGAGGCCTGCCTCTTCTCTGTGCGCTGTCCCTGCCCTGCCCTCCCCACGTTCTTTCTTCAGGGTAGTGGAGGTTCCGTGAGCTCACGGGAGACACAGCTCAAGGGTATCTGCTGCACGCAGGGGAGGAGGTGCGGTGCCATGGCCGGCTGTGCCCTCGCCATGGCCCTGTCACTCGGGGGCCTCCCCTGCTGTCCCCTCTTAGCCTGTTGTGTTCCCATAGAGCAGCGTCCTCCCCTGCCGAGGCCCTGCCCCGGCTACTGGGCCTTGGCGCTGGCTCTTCCTGTGGCACGGGAGGTGCTCTCCCTGAGGTCCGTGTGGCCGTTGCTGCCTCCTTGTCACATGCGCCCTGGTCCTCCCTAGAATACCCCCTGTCATGCCATCTCCCCTCCTTGCTGTTTTTTTTTTTTTTTTTATTTACTTTATTTATTTGAAAGACAAGAGTTCCAGAGAGGTAGAGACAGAGAGAGAGGTCTTCCATCTGGTGGTTCTCTCCCCAGCTGGCTTCAACAGCTGGAGCTGAGCTGATCCGAAGCCAGGAACCAGGAGCTTCTTCCGGGTCTCCCACGTGGGTGCAGGGGCCCAAGCACTTTGGCCATCTTCCACTGCTATCCCAGGCCATAGCAGAGAGCTGGATCGGAAGTGGAGCAGCTGGGACTCGAACCGGCGCCTGTGTTGGATGCTGGTGCTGCAGGCTGGGGTTAACCCACTGCGCCACACGTGCTGGCCCCATCCTTTCCCTGCCTTGCACGTTCACGTCTGACTCTGCGCACACCGACTGCTTCCAAGGCTCCCAGCTTGGAGAGTCCCAGCGTGGCGGAGCCCACGGCAGACAGAGAAGTAAAGGAGAAACCCTGAGCTTCTCCGGTTCAGGCCTGTTGAGCCGTCTCCCCGCTTCTCCCCGTGGTAGAGGATCAGCAGGTTTCTCTCTGGGCTTCCGTGAGAGCCAGGTCACGATGCACGGAAAGCCAGCCCCTGGCGCCTGGCTCACCACAGGGCTCAGCCACCATCGCTGGGCCAGGGTGGGCGGAGCCGAGTGGCTGCGCGACATCCCGGGTGGGCTTGTTGAGCCTCTCCAGGGCGGGGCCCTGCTGCGGACCCTGCCCCCATGCACAGCTTCGTCAGGACCAGTGGCCACCTCAGTGCCGGGAGAGGCCCAGGGCAGAGCCGCCCCCGGAAGTGAGTGTTCCCTGTGTGAATGCCAGTGGCCTGCGAGACCCCGGGTGGATCTGCTCCCTTTGATTTCTGTGGTAATTGTAGCCTGCAGCAGGTACTGCTCCAGGCTGTCCTGGAGGCAGAGAATCGCACCCGAGCCATGCCGCTAGCCGTGTTTAATGGAGGTTTTGCCAGTTGCCATCTGGAGAGGCTGCTGCTCAATGCCACGCCTTCTAAAGAGGCGGGGCTTTGGCCCTGAAGCCGGTAGCCCTGCAGAGACTGGAGGCGGCCTTGCTGGTGTGGCCCCAGCCCTTCCACGGCTGTGAGGCCTACGTGTGTGCCCTGCATTCACTGCCCTGGAAGGGGAGGGGTGGGTGTGCCCTGTCTATGCCCTGTCTGTGTCCTGTCTGTGCTCTGACTGTGTCCTGTCTGTCTCTTGTGTCCTGTCTGTGTCCTGTCTGTGCCCTGTGTCCTGTGTCCTGTCTGCCCTGTCTGTGACCTGTCTGTGCTCTGACTGTGTCCTGTCTGTCTCTTGTGTCCTGTGTCCTGTCTGCCCTGTCTGTGTCCTGTCTGTGTCCTGTCTGTGCTCTGTGTCCTGTCTGTGTCCTGTGTCCTGTCTGCCCTGTCTGTGTCCTGTGTCCTGTCTGCCCTGTCTGTGTCCTGTCTGTGCTCTGACTGTGTCCTGTCTGTCTCTTGTGTCCTGTGTCCTGTCTGCCCTGTCTGTGTCCTGTCTGCCCTGTCTGTGCTCTGTGTCCTGTCTGTGTCCTGTGTCCTGTCTGCCCTGTCTGTGTCCTGTCTGTGTGCTGTCTGTGTCCTGTCTGCCCTGTCTGTGTCCTGTATCCTGTCTGCCCTGTCTGTGTCCTGTCTGTGCTCTGACTGTGTCCTGTCTGTCTCTTGTGTCCTGTGTCCTGTCTGCCCTGTCTGTGTCCTGTCTGCCCTGTCTGTGCTCTGATTGTGCCCTGTCTGTGTCCTGTGTCCTGTCTGTGTCCTGTATCCTGTCTGCCCTGTCTGTGTCCTGTCTGTGTCCTGTCTGTGCTCTGTGTCCTGTCTGTGTCCTGTGTCCTGTCTGCCCTGTCTGTGCTCTGATTGTGCCCTGTCTGTGTCCTGTGTCCTGTCTGTGTCCTGTATCCTGTCTGCCCTGTCTGTGCCCTGTCTGTGCTCTGTCTGTGTCCTGTCTGTGTCCTGTCTGTGTCCTGTCTGTGCTCTGTGTCCTGTCTGTGTCCGGTCTGTGCCCTGTCTGTGTCCTGCACTGATCTGTGGAAGCCACAGAAGCACTGAGAGGTTTGGGTCCAGGGCCTGCTCTACAGGCAGGACCACGAGATTTCCTGGCCGGTTAGGTGGGGAGGAGTCGGTGGGTGTGAGCCCAGCAGCTGCACCCTGGCTCCTACTGGTCTCCAAGCATCACGCCGGTCCTGGTGGCTAGGAGAGACCCCACACAGGCTGCCGAGCGAGGGGACAAGGCAGCAGGCCACTTAACAGGAGGGCTTTGCACACAGGATAGGTCACCATGTCCTCCTTGGGCCACCTGATGCATTGTGGCTTCACATTCTGGGGTATCAGCCCGACCTGCACCTCAGCTCTGAGTCTAAAACCTGTGGAGACCCAGGGCCGGGCCCGGGGACTGCGTGCTCGCCACTCTAGGCCGCGGGGCCTGCTCGCTGCTTCAGTTCTGCCTCCCCGCTCACAAAACATCTGATTTTCCAGATGAACCGGAGGTAAGAGGCCTGAGCTGGCGCGTGATAGAAGCAGAGGTCGAGTGGCAGGTGTAGGAGGCTGGAGTGCACCCTGGGACGACAGACGGCCTGTGTGAGAGGACCCATGCCCATCTTGCTTGGCCGTGGCCAGGGGCTCAGCCCCAAATCCCATGTTGTTTACTAGGAATCTCACTGCCCAGCCCTGTCTTGTTCCCCGGAGGTTGAGAAAGTCCTCATGGGACTGAGCTCTTATCTCAAGAAGAACAAAGGGCGCCTCTCACAGCAGGTGCAGGACAGAAGGGAGGGGAGCGGGAGGGTGGCTGAGGCTGCCGAGCCCTGGGGGTGAGGGAGGCGCAGGACAGGGCCTGGCGGCGCCTGAGAGGGGCCAGGTGCACCCGCATGGGCCTTCAAGTTTCCCAGGACCTGGGAGTGTTGCAAACCTGAGGCACGAGGGTCTGACGCCACTCATCCCCCGCAGAGGACAGAAGTCTGCTCCTCAGGACCTGTGTGCCCGGTCTGCCTGCCGGGAGCCGGCTGAGGCGCTGGGTTCCCAGAGCGAGTGCGCCTTCAGGTGGAGGGAATCTGCCGGGCCGGCCTGCTCACAGGTGCACCTGCAGCTGCAGCTGCACCTCTGGGAGCTTCTGAGTTTGTAGTGGGGAATGAAGTATTTCTTTAAGATTGATCGATTTATTTGAAAGGCAGAGTTTTATATATATATATGTGTATATATATATATATGTATGTATGTATTTTTGTGAGAGAGAGAGACAGAGAGAGAGAGAGAGAGAGAGAGAGAGGTCTCCATCTGCTGGTTCACTCCCCAGATGGCCACAGCGGCCGCAGCTGGGTCGATCTGGAGCCAGGAGCTCCTTCCCAGTCCCCCACGTGAGCGCAGGGGCCCGAGCACCTGGCGTCTTCTGCGGCCTTTCCAGGCACATGGCCTGGGAGCGGGCCAGCAGTGGAGCAGCCGGGACTTGATCCCGAACCAGAGCAGCTTTACTGCTATGCCACAGTGCTGCCCCCCAAACATTTAAATTTAAGCACCTGTTGCTTTAGAAAAATAGACCCCTGCTGGCGGCTCCCACATTGTCAGCGTCGCTGTGTTGGGATGGGCCACGTCCCCTCTCACAGCTGCAGACGCCTGTGGGCTGGTGTGCCATGAATCTGCCTGCTCCTCCTGTGGACGCCTCCCTGGTCGGGGAGAAGCTGCTGGAGGCTGGCAGTTCAGGGGGAAGCTCACGTGGTGTGACTGGCGCATCGCTTTTCCGCTAAGCAACCCAGAGCTGCACCGTGCCGCTCCCTCCTGCCAGGGGCAGCCATTCGTCCCCAGTGGGAGGGCTGCAGCTGCTTGCCAGCACTGCTGACCGGTTTCCTTGTTGTTTGGTCCATCAAGGTACGGAGACCTGACAGGCCCACGCTGTGAGGAGGACGGAGGCCCAAGTTCCCCGGAGTCCAAGGCCATCATCAGGAAGTGAGTGTGTCTTTCTCTGTTGCGTGCAGACCGTTCAAGGATCTCTCAGGACGCAGCTGGGTGCAGCTTCTGCTCTACTCATACCAAGTGCAGGAGAGCAAAGAGCTGCTCTCTGGTTCCCTCCGTCAATCAGCAAAAATCGTTTATTCCTCCAGGCTCTGTGCTGACTCAGTGCAGTCAGTGTGTGCACAGGAGAGTGAGGGACACACACACACACATCCCAGTGCATGACAGTGTGTGCACAGGAGAGTGAGGGACACACACACACACACATATACACATGTCCCAGTGCAGTCAGGGTGTGCACAGGAGAGTGAGGGACACACACACACACACACGTGTCCCAGTGCAGTCAGTGTGTGCACAGGAGAGTGAGGGACACACACACAGACGTCCCAGTGCAGTCAGTGTGTGCAGAGGAGAGTGAGGGGCACACACACACACATCCCAGTGCATGACAGTGTGTGCACAGGAGAGTGAGGGACACACACACACACACGTGTCCCAGTGCAGTGTGTGCACAGGAGAGTGAGGGGCACACACACACACACACCAGTGCAGTCAGTGTGTGCACAGGAGAGTGAGGGAGACACACACACACACACGTGTCCCAGTGCAGTGTGTGCACAGGAGAGTGAGGGGCACACACACACACACACACCAGTGCAGTCAGTGTGTGCACAGGAGAGTGAGGGACACACACACACACACGTGTCCCAGTGCAGTCAGGGTGTGCACAGGAGAGTGAGGGGCACACACACACACACATCCCAGTGCAGTCAGTGTGCACAGGAGAGTGAGGGACACACACACACACACATATCCCTGTGCAGTCAGTGTGCACAGGAGAGTGAGGGGCACACACATACACATCCCAGTGCATGACAGTGTGTGCACAGGAGAGTGAGGGACACACACACACACATATCCCTGTGCAGTCAGGGTGTGCACAGGAGAGTGAGGGACACACACACACACACACACACACGTGTCCCAGTGCAGCCAGGATGTGCACAGGAGAGTGAGGGACACACACACACACACACACGTGTCCCAGTGCAGTCATTGTGTGCACAGGAGAGTGAGGGACACACACACATACGTGTCCCAGTGCAGTCATTGTGTGCACAGGAGAGTGAGGGACACACACACACACACACACATACACACACATGTCCCAGTGCAGTAAGTGTGTGCACAGGAGAGTGAGGGACACACACACACACACACACCAGTGCAGTCAGTGTGTGCACAGGAGAGTGAGGGACACACACACACACACACGTGTCCCAGTGCAGTGTGTGCACAGGAGAGTGAGGGGCACACACACACACACACACCAGTGCAGTCAGTGTGTGCACAGGAGAGTGAGGGGCACACACACACACATACATATACACATGTCCCAGTGCAGTCAGGGTGTGCACAGGAGAGTGAGGGACACACACACACACATATCCCTGTGCAGTCAGGGTGTGCACAGGAGAGTGAGGGACACACACACACACACGTGTCCCAGTGCAGTGTGTGCACAGGAGAGTGAGGGGCACACACACACACACGTGTCCCAGTGCAGTCAGGGTGTGCACAGGAGAGTGAGGGACACACACACACACATATCCCTGTGCAGTCAGTGTGCACAGGAGAGTGAGGGGCACACACACACACATACATATACACATGTCCCAGTGCAGTCAGTGGTACAGGATGGAATGCGTGAGTGGGAGCCCGGGTGAGGACTTGGCCCTGAGGGTCGTCGTCTTGCTGGGAGTCCCAGGCAGGGGCCCAGAGCCAGGATGCCCGTTCACGCCTGATGCAGCGTGGCAGAGCCTGTGAACCCCGGGCCGAGAGAACTGGGAGGAGTGGTGCGGTGGGAACCGTGTCGTAGCTGCTGCAGGGGAGGGGAGAAGGGGCGGAGTCTGTCACGGCAGGTGTTGCGGCGGCCCGTAGGGCAGTGGGGGCCAGGTCAGCCGGGTCGCGGGACTCGGGGGCTGGGGCTGGTTTTGACAAGGCATGGAGAGCTGCTGTGTCTCGCTCAGGCAGCGGGCAGGCTGCAGGCTGCAGGCTGCAGCTCACTTCTGTGGGGGTGGCGAGGGCGTTGGCAGGGTGTGCCGGCTGCAGGTGCTCCCGGGAGGAGGACAGCGGCTGTGGAGGGCGCCTGGCAGGGCAGCGTGGGCCCCGCGTGTCTCCTGCTGACGCTGAGCTTGGGGTGGGAGGGCCGAGGGGGGGCTCGTTGGGCTCCCTCCTCTCACACAGAGGTTGGTGCTCTGGGACTGGACGAGGGCCGGCGGAGAAGAGTCCACAGGCAGAGCCAGGGTGCCCGCTGGGGTTGGAGGAGGTGAGGAAGAGGGGTCGGGAGCCGAGCGCTGTCGTGGGCAAGGAGAGAGCAGCAGCTCCGTCCGAGCAGAGTGAGGGACTTCAGGGATGCGTGGCCAGCTGCGCTCACTGGGTGTGGACCTGGGGAGTGGGGCTGGGGGTCAGGAGAGAGTGCAGGGAGCACCACGCGTCTGGCTGCAGGATTTGCCGCAAGGAGAGGGAAGAGGGTGCTCTGGGGACGACAGATTTGCATTTTGTTTCGTTGCGTCTGTCTTCAGAGTGCCATCCGGGCCTCCCATGTGGGTGCAGAGCCCCGCTGCTTTCCCAGGTCGTTGGCAGGGAGCTGGAGCGGAAGCGGAGCAGCCGGGACTCTACCAGCAGCTCCTCCGGTGGTGGCGGAGCCTGCCGCAGCGCCACACCGCTCAGTATTCATTTTTGGGCTGGAAGGCTGGCTGGTGATCCTTGGGCACTTCAGAGGTTCACCTGCAGGAGCCAGGGATGTGGGAATTATAGAACGGGGGCTCGTTCTGACGCTGCATCGGGCTCTTCCTGGCTGGGCCATAATGTTCCAGAAACCCTGACAACACGGTGTGGGCAGTCCGGTGCCAGGAGCAACATCTGTGTGTCCCAGAGGGCCCTGGAGAAGTGTTTGGAGTGTGGAGTGGTGGTGAGGGCGTGGTCGGGGCTGTGCCATCAAAGCCGGGAGACGCAGTGTGTGTGGAGCTGCGGTGACACTGATTTGGGTTGCACCGTGAGGGCTAGGTGGGCGGGGCAGTCAGCCACAGGAAACATTCCTAGGAGCCGACAGTCTGATCCTACAGGGGGCTGGGCTGGGCGCCCTCCTGCTCCAAGCGTGGACGTGGACCGGCGTGCGTGGTGGACGTGCGGCATTGCAGGCCGCCCAGGCTGCCGCGTTAGGACCTGCGTTGGAGCGAGACCCCCACGTGGCTCGTATGCACCCTAGAATCTGAGAATTATCCATGCAACAGAGAAGGGCCTTCTTACGGCAGCTGTTGGAGCGCGTGCGAGAGCAGAGATCCCTCAAGGGCCGAGCGGCCAGCTCGTGAGTGTGACCAGGACCCGTGACCACATTCGGAGATGAGCGTGCTGTGTCTGCACAGGAGCTGGCGCTCGGTGGCCACGGAGCTCTCCAGGGCTAGCAGGTGGGGCGGTGCTGTGGATGGGCGCGCTGGGCGAGGCAGACGCCAGGGCTTCGCTTGTTGCTTGAAGCCCGCTCAGATCTCCTGGGCACCCGGAGCGCTGCCCTGGCTGGAGCGGCAGCACAGCCGTCTGAGGGCACTTAGCCCCCACAGGGAGCCCCCACCCCCGGGCCCTCGGGGACAATGGTCCCTTCCCAAGCCGCACAGCGCTTGGGAGAAAGTTCCTGACCCTTTTCTTCAGACTGCGTTGCCTGTTTAAAAAAGTTGTGCCTGCTGCAGATACGCCTCCTGACGCCAGAACGGGTGGCTGTGTGCCGCGGCTGCGGAGCGCCGCAGGCCCTGGCCGCTGCCCGCGCCCGGCCCTCGCCATCTCCTGCTGCTGCTCTGGTGCTCTGCAGCCCACTGCACCACTGTCCTCGGCCCTCTCTGGGAGGCTCCGCTGCCCCCGATCCGACCTCAGCGCCCGTGGCGCCCAGGCCCGCGTGAAAAGCCTCTTTATTTTGGAACGGCCCGTGCTTGTCAGAAGAGCAGTGTGATGATTCGGAAGTTGACGTGCGAGTGCAGGGCTGTGGCAGCTCCGTCCCCTGGAGCCATGTGGCCCCCGCTCGGCCACTTCACCCTTGGGTTCCGTTTCTTCACCGGAAAACCCGAGGCGCCTGGTCTCTGGGGTCCTTCGGGGCTCCCCGGCGTCTAAGGCAAAGCTGGGCGGGCTCCGGGCAGGCGGCCGTGCTGCCTCTCTGTGTTGCATGAGGATGGAGGGAGGCTGATGCGCTGCCGTTCGCCGAGCCCCGTCGCTGCTTGCCGTGCTGGGCAGGCAGAGCCGGCTGAGGCGCCCTCGGCCCTCCCTGCTGTGACCTTCTCTGGGGACCCGGCGTGGTCTGAGGAGGCAGCAGCCCGTCCGGGGCGCACCTGTGTGGAGGCTGCGGGCGCCCTGCTGGGCTCAGCCCTGAGAGGAAATGCCCGGGTGTTGCTTTCTTGGGCTCTCGCTGTGAAGCAGAGGGTGACCCTTTGCTCGATACAGGCCCCAGGTACCAAGGTAGCAGTTGTGTTTCTACATGCAGATCTAAGCAGCCCTCTAGACGTTTAAAGAATTTTCCAGAAGGAACACGTGGAAATGCAGATGAGGCCTCCTAGGTGCAGTGAAAGGAGCGCTGGGTGCCACAGCGGCGCCCACGTGCATGGCGCTCCACCCCAGCCCTGAGCGTGCCCTGTGCAGCGTCGGGGGCCTCTGCCTGCCTGGCCAGAAAAGTCCCCGGGGTAAAGGACTCAGTCTGCCAGGCTTCTGGGTACCCAGGGGTGTGGTGAGGTGCCCAGGGGTGTCAGGGGTGTGGTGAGGTGCCCGGGGTGTGGTGAGGTGCCCGGGGGTGTGGTGAGGTGCCCAGGGGTGTCAGGGGTGTGGTGAGGTGCCCGGGGGGTGTGGTGAGGTACCCAGGGGTGTCGGGTGTGGTGAGGTACCCAGGGGTGTCAGGGGTGTGGTGAGGTGCCCGTGGTTGTGGTGAGGTGCCCGTGGTTGTGGTGAGGTGCCCAGGGGTGTCAGGGGTGTGGTGAGGTACCCAGGGGTGTGGTGAGGTGCCCAGTGCCCAGGGGGTGTGGTGAGGTGCCTGTGGGTGTGGTAAGGGGCCCGTGGGTGTGGTGAGGTGCCCAGGGGTGTCAGGGGTGTGGTGAGGTGCCCAGGGATATCAGGGGTGTGGTGAGGTACCCAGGGGTGTCAGGGGTGTGGTGAGGTGCCCAGGGCCCAGGGGGTGTGGTGAGGGGCCTGTGGGTGTGGTGAGGGGCCCGTTGATTCCAGGGTTCAGAAAGGCCAGTGTTGAGGAACTGGGAACCCCAGCTGTGAACAGGAGACAGCGTCTGCCCACATCCTCCTGCTGTCTTCCGCGTGACAGACGCCGTGGAACGATGCCATGTAAACCAGGCAGAAAAGGGGATTTTGCCTGGAGCAGAATGATTCGGGCGTTGAGTTCCCACTGTAACCATCCTGAGCGTCTACACCGTAAGTCTGTTCTCTGAAACGGGCACTCGTAGCACATGCATCATACACCCATGTGCACACATGCTAACGTCTGTACGCAGGACATGTTAATGTGCATTGTATAGCGCACATGTATGCGCATGCCAATGTGCATGGTACACACATGCATGCTAACATGCATTGTACATGTGTGTGCACACACTGACTGCATTATGCATGTGCGCACATGCTAACATGCCCGGAAATGGTCTGTGTGCTGAGGGGGAGGAGGGCAAAGAACTGTGCAGAGCTAAGACTCAAGACTGGGGGAGTGGAGGGCTTAACGTGGAAGGGGCAGGGAAGAGACCTGCCCCACACACCCAGCGCACGTGGTGCTAAGGTGGTTAGCGTTCTACCTTCAGGGACGTGGGTCACGGTGTCACCGGGTCACCTGCAGCATGGGGACACTGCGTGTGCGCTCTGCCAGGCACCGTATGTTCGCTGCTTCCGCGACGCCCACGATACCCCGACCGTACGTTCGCTGCTTCCGCGACCCCCACGATATCCCGACCGTACGTTCGCTGCTTCCGCGACCCCCACGATATCCCGACCGTACGTTCGCTGCTTCCGCGACCCCCACGATACCCCGACCGTACGTTCGCTGCTTCCGCGACCCCCACGATACCCCGACCGTACGTTCGCTGCTTCCGCAACCCCCACGATACCCCGACCATAGGTTTGCTGCTTCTGCGACCCCCATGATACCTCAAGATGCTGTCCTCATTTCCAAGGCCCGTCGCACAGCAGGGGTCTGCATGTGACCCCTGCTTCCTGCCCCGCTCCTGTCCCTCAGGCTGCTGTCCCAGGTGCCCAGTGACCCCTGCTTGCCGTGCAGCACTGCTGCAGGGGCCGGCGCCCTGGGAGTCACCGTGGGGACCTCTCGTGGCGGATTCCCTATGACTGCCTCATGTCTTCTTGCTGAATGGACCCCTACAGCTGCTGGCCCCGTGGAAGCTGGCGGAGCCCCACAGGGAGCAGGCGGCCCCCTCCCGGACCTGGGGGTTGGGGAGTGAGTTGCTGAGGTCCCTGGAAGACGATCTTGGGGAGTGCAGTGTCGTGCAGTGTCGTCTCTCCCAAGAGCCGGGATCCGTGGCTGCTCAGTGGGAACCATCCCTGGTTAGCATCAGACGTACTTTCATAATTGTCATGACGACTGCACTCTTCTGCCCATTCTGCACGTGAGAAGCCCGAGGTGCAGGTTGAGGAATGTGTCCGAGCTCATACGGTGAATGCATGTGAGCAGCTGTGCAGCAAACGTGCAATACAGCCAGTACCTAAAGTGGACACATGGCAAATGCACACGTACAGTGACTACGGTGAACGTGGATATATAGCAAATACACACATACAGCAAGTACGTGCATGTGCATGGCAAGTACATACAGGCACACCGTGAAGACACACACAGCGATTTACATACCAGGAGCACATACGTGTGCATGTCAGTACATACACACGGAGTGAACACTACATACCACGAGCACATACATGTGTGTGTTCAGTACATGCACGCAGTGAACACTACATACCACGAGCACATACATGCGTGTGGTGAGTACATACGTGCCCACAGTGAACACTTACATACCAGGAGCACATACGTGTGTATGGTGTGTACATACGTGCCCATAGTGAACACTTACTACCATGAGCACATACATGTGTATGGTGAGTACATACGTGTGTGCAGTGAACACTTACATACCACGAGCACATACATGTGTATGGTCAGTACATACATGCATGCAGTGAACAATACATACGACGAAAACATACATGTGTATGGTGATCACATACGTGCCCACAGTGAACACTTACATACCACGAGCACATACGTGTGTATGGTGAGTACATACGTGCCCACAGTGAACACTTACATACCATGAGCACATACATGTGTATGGTGAGTACATATGTGCCTGCAGTGAACACTTACATACCATAAGCACATACATGTGTATGGTGTGTGCATACATGCCCACAGTGAACACTTACATACCACGAGCACATACATGCGTGTGGTGAGCACATACGTGCCCACAGTGAATACATGCATACAGCGAGCACATAGGGAGTACATGCACGCAGTGAGTGCATGCAGTAGACACATACAGTGGGCACATACGTGTACGCAGTGAGCACATGCACACAGTGAGTAACTGAGAGAGCTGGGCCAACCCCGGCCCAGTCTGCACGTGTGGCCTCTGCCTCTCTCTCGCTGATAGAAGAGAGATGTTCTGAGCTCGTGGTCTGGGGTGAGACAGGAGTGCAGGGGTGAGATGGGAGCGCAGGGGTGAGATGGGAGCGCGTGGGGTGAGACGGGAGCGCAGGGGTGAGATGGGAGCGCAGGGGGTGAGACGGGAGCATGTGGGGTGAGACGGGAGACAGGAGCGCAGGGGTGAGACGGGAGCACACAGGGTGAGATGGGAGCGCAGGGGGTGAGATGGGAGCGCAGGGGTGAGACGGGAGCGCAGGGGGTGAGACGGGAGTGCAGGGGTGAGACGAGCACAGGGGGTGAGACGGGAGCGTGTAGGGTGAGATGGGAGCGCAGGGGTGAGACAGGAGCGCAGGGGTGAGACAGGAGCACACAGGGTGAGACTGGAGTGCAGGGGTGAGACGGGAGCACAGGGGGTGAGACAGGAGCGCGGGGGTGAGACGGGAGCGCGGGGGTGAGACGGGAGCACAGGTGGTGAGACGGGAGCACACGGGGTGAGACGGGAACGCAGGGGTGAGACGGGAGCGCAGGGGTGAGACGGGAACACGGGTGAGACGGGAGTACACGGGGTGAGACGGGAGCGCAGGGGTTAGACGGGAGCGCAGGGGTGAGACGGGAGCGCAGGGGGTGGGACGGGAGCGCAGAGGGTGGGACAGGAGCGCAGGGGTGAGACAGGAGTGCAGGGGTGAGACGGGAGCACATGGGTTCTGGCTCGCCCTCTTTCCCGCCCACGGCCCCTGCCCTGGCTGCCTGGCTGCTGGCTTCCCCATCCTGCCTTCACCCCTCCCAGGGTCCTACCCCTGCTTTCCACCAGGGCCAGAAAGCGACAGGAGACTAGAAGGGTGCAGGGCGCGCCCCCCTCGGGAAGGGCGTCTGGCTGGGGTCTGGGCAGCCCCTCTGCGAGGCCGTCCTTGGAGGAGGGGCTGCCTGCCTTCCTGCCTGGTGGGAGAGAGCCTCTGGCCTGGAGGTGGTTCAGGTCGCACTTTGCCCACCTGCGGCCGTCGCGTGCTGGAACTCTCACCGCCTCCGCCTCTGCCCCGCTCGCTCGCTGCGTGCGGCTCTGGGGTCAGCTGGGCGTCAGAAGGCCCTCGTGAGGGTTTGCTCGCCCTCAGGTCCTTTGCCCCCGCTGCCCCCTCCCTGTCCTGCCTGTCTCGGGGACGCGCCTCTCGTGACTGCGCTGCGAGCCTCCGTGGGGTATGTCCCTGCCCCGGGCTCCGAGCCCTCGCTGGCAGGGTCTCCCCACTGCTGTGCCGGGAAGGGTGTGCAGTGCAGCTCTGTGTGCTGCCGGGAGTGCCCGCGGCAGCCAGCAGTCCTGGGGGCCCCGCCTGGTCTCCCCCCCACCCCGCCTGGCCCCCACCCAGCCCCGCCTGGCCTTGGATGGGGAGGTTCCTGCCCCGTTGCGGGTTCCAGACAAGGTGAAGGCCCACGGTGGTCCAGGCCGAGGGGCAGGAAGCCGCCCTCCTGGTCCCCCTGTGCTCTCTCGTGGTTTTGTGCGGTTGCTTTCCTTATTGACACGACAAACGTTTCCCACCTGTCCCTGCTACTCGCTCTCCCGAGAAGGGAAGCAGAGACCTAAGCTGCCGCGAGCCCCGGGCCGTCCCCCACCCCTCACCCCCCCCGCCCGTGATCTGCCGCGGCCACGCAGAGGGCACGCCTGCTGACTTGCAGAGCCGCCGCCGCCTCGTGGGGACGTGCAGGTTCTGGGTAATCCCGTGCCTGGTCGCAGAGAGCCTCACTGGCTGCCTAAGCCAGGCTGTGGCGAGGTCGCCTCCACAAAGGGTAAGACGGGTAGACGAGCAGAGCTCACGAAAACCGTCAGCTGAGAGGACAGACTGCACCCAGTCCCTGCTCAGAATCCCCGGGTCGTGCCGGCCTGTGGCCTCCACTCAGTGAGCTCATCACAACGTGCCTTGTAGTCTGCCCCTGCTGTGTGTGCACGGACATGCACATGCAGGCCCGATGTGCACGCACACACAGGCAAGGGACATACGCTGTGTAACTGTGTGCAGTTGGGATGTCGGCCTCCCAGGAGGCCATGGTGCGTCCACCCCGCGGGGCATGTGCTCAGGACACAGCGGGGAGAGGTGTCCCTGAGACAGGGCCCAGCACAGGAGGCCGTGGTGCGTCCACCCCGCGGGGCATGTGCTCAGGACACAGCGGGGAGAGGTGTCCCTGAGACAGGGCCCAGCGCAGGAGGCCGTGGTGCGTCCACCCCGCGGGGCACGTGCTCAGGACACAGCGGGGAGAGGTGTCCCTGAGACAGGGCCCAGCACAGGAGGCCATGGTGCGTCCACCCCACGGGGCATGTGCTCAGGACACAGCGGGGAGAGGTGTCCCTGAGACAGGGCCCAGCGCAGGAGGCCGTGGTGCGTCCACCCCGCGGGACACATGCTCAGGACACGGCGGGGAGAGGTGTCCCTGAGACAGGGCCCAGCGCAGGAGGCCGTGGTGCGTCCACCCCGCGGGACACATGCTCAGGACACGGCGGGGAGAGGCGTCCCTGAGACAGGGCCCAGCGCAGGAGGCCGTGGTGCGTCCACCCCGTGGGGCACATGCTCAGGACACAGCGGGGAGAGGCGTCCCTGAGACAGGGCCCAGCGCAGGAGGCCGTGGTGCGTCCACCCCGCGGGGCACGTGCTCAGGACACGGCGGGGAGAGGTGTCCCTGAGACAGGGCCCAGCGCAGGAGGCCGTGGTGCGTCCACCCCGCGGGGCACGTGCTCAGGACACGGTGGGGAGAGGCGTCCCTGAGACAGGGCCCAGCGCAGGAGGCCGTGGTGCGTCCACCCCGCGGGGCACGTGCTCAGGACACGGCGGGGAGAGGCGTCCCTGAGACAGGGCCCAGCGCAGGAGGCCGTGGTGCGTCCACCCCGCGGGGCACGTGCTCAGGACACGGCGGGGAGAGGCGTCCCTGAGACAGGGCCCAGCGCAGGAGGCCGTGGTGCGTCCACCCCGCGGGGCACGTGCTCAGGACACGGCGGGGAGAGGCGTCCCTGAGACAGGGCCCAGCGCAGGAGGCCATGGTGCGTCCACCCCACGGGGCATGTGCTCAGGACACAGCGGGGAGAGGCGTCCCTGAGACAGGGCCCAGCGCAGGAGGCCGTGGTGCGTCCACCCCGCAGGACACATGCTCAGGACACGGCGGGGGAGAGGCGTCCCTGAGACAGGGCCCAGCGCAGGAGGCCGTGGTGCGTCCACCCCGCGGGGCACGTGCTCAGGACACGGTGGGGAGAGGCATCCCTGAGACAGGGCCCAGCGCAGGAGGCCGTGGTGCGTCCACCCCGCGGGGCACGTGCTCAGGACACGGCGGGGAGAGGCGTCCCTGAGACAGGGCCCAGCGCAGGAGGCCGTGGTGCGTCCACCCCGCGGGGCACGTGCTCAGGACACGGCGGGGAGAGGCGTCCCTGAGACAGGGCCCAGCGCAGGAGGCCATGGTGCGTCCACCCCGCGGGGCACGTGCTCAGGACACAGCGGGGAGAGGCGTCCCTGAGACAGGGCCCAGCGCAGGAGGCCGTGGTGCGTCCACCCCGCAGGACACATGCTCAGGACACGGCGGGGAGAGGCGTCCCTGAGACAGGGCCCAGCGCAGGAGGCCGTGGTGCGTCCACCCCGCGGGACACATGCTCAGGACACGGCGGGGAGAGGCATCCCTGAGACAGGGCCCAGCGCAGGAGGCCGTGGTGCGTCCACCCCGCGGGACACATGCTCAGGACACGGCGGGGAGAGGCATCCCTGAGACAGGGCCCAGCGCAGGAGGCCGTGGTGCGTCCACCCCGCGGGACACATGCTCAGGACACGGCGGGGAGAGGCGTCCCTGAGACAGGGCCCAGCGCAGGAGGCCGTGGTGCGTCCACCCCGCGGGACACATGCTCAGGACACGGCGGGGAGAGGCATCCCTGAGACAGGGCCCAGCGCAGGAGGCCGTGGTGCGTCCACCCCGCGGGGCACGTGCTCAGGACACGGCGGGGAGAGGCGTCCCTGAGACAGGGCCCAGCGCAGGAGGCCATGGTGCGTCCACCCCGCGGGGCACGTGCTCAGGACACGGCGGGGAGAGGCGTCCCTGAGACAGGGCCCAGCGCAGGAGGCCGTGGTGCGTCCACCCCGCGGGGCACGTGCTCAGGACACAGCGGGGAGAGGCGTCCCTGAGACAGGGCCCAGCGCAGGAGGCCGTGGTGCGTCCACCCCGCGGGACACATGCTCAGGACACGGCGGGGAGAGGCGTCCCTGAGACAGGGCCCAGCGCAGGAGGCCGTGGTGCGTCCACCCCGCGGGACACATGCTCAGGACACGGCGGGGAGAGGCATCCCTGAGACAGGGCCCAGCGCAGGAGGCCGTGGTGCGTCCACCCCGCGGGGCACGTGCTCAGGACACGGCGGGGAGAGGCGTCCCTGAGACAGGGCCCAGCGCAGGAGGCCATGGTGCATCCACCCTGTGGGGCACGTGCTCAGGACACGGCGGGGGGAGGCGTCCCTGAGACAGGGCCCAGTGCAGGAGGCCATGGTGCGTCCACCCCGCGGGGCACGTGCTCAGGACACGGCGGGGAGAGGCGTCCCTGAGACAGGGCCCAGCGCAGGAGGCCATGGTGCATCCACCCTGTGGGGCTCCATGTGCGTCCAGTGGAAGACCCACACTGGTTTTTACAGACGTGCGCATTTGCATGGTAAATGGTTGTGCATAGTCACAGAAACATCTGGAAGGATGCCCTGCAGAGTGGTGACAGGTGGTCTCAGGGCAGGCTCAGAATCAAGGGGCAGGAGACACTTTGCTTGTGTTGTCTGTGTGTGTTAATGAGATTTACTTTTGCAATAAACAGGAGGTTTTGTGATTTTAGAAAGAACGTGTGTGGGTGGTTAAGGAGTTAGTGTCCCTGGGGTGTGGTTCTGCCTTAGTGCCGGAGGTGCCGCGTGGCTGCCGTCCCTGTGCCTCTGTGCGGTGCGTGCTCTGCTCCGTGTCTCGGCGTCCTGCGGCGTCATGGAGGGAGTGTGGCGTCACGGGGCTCACCCTGCCCCCCTGCAGGCGCTGTGCGAGCTCGCGTCCCCGCGGTCCTGCCGTGCCCTCCCCACTCCTTGGGACGGAGGAGAAGGTGGTTGGGGGAACACCATGTGCCTTGAACGCGAGGCGGCCAAGTGCCGCTGCTGGCTTCTCTGCCGAGTCAGGATGTAGGCGTTGGTGAGGAACGCAGAAACAGCACGAGCCACGGGCGTCCCTCAGGACGTGGGGGTCTGTGGGCTTCTCCCCTCGTTCTGTTTCTCCCAGAGCCCAGTTAACTCCTAGCTTCTGGAAGGGAGTGAAATTTTTTTCTGTTTGAAATGCAATGTTACAGAGAGAAGGAGAGACAGAGAAAGAGATCCTCCCTCTGCTGGTTCACTTCCCGGATGGCCACAAAGGCTGGAGCTTGGCCAGACTGAAGCCAGCAGCCAGGAGCTTCTTCCAGGTCTCCCACATGGGTGCAGGGGCCCAAGCAATTGGGCCATCCTCCACTGCTTTCCCAGGCCATGAGCAGGGAGCTGGCTCGAAAGTAGAGCATCCGGGACTTGAACCAGCGCCCACGTGGGAGGCCAGCACTGCGGACAGCCACTTTAACCGTGTAGGCCCCAGGAATGGGACTTTTAAAACGGTATTTAATGTGCAGCAAAGGTTTGGAGAGCGTGGGTGGTCGCCAGCATTGGTGGTTTCCTGTCATTTACTTGGGGTGTAGACAGCTGAGCATTGTGGGGACCCAGTGGAGTACACTGACCTGAGAGCAGGTGGCGCAGCGGCCTGCCTTCTGTCGGGCTCCCGGGACAAGTGCTCACGCGGGGAGAGGCGTCCCTGAGACAGGGCCCAGCGCAGGAGGCCGTGGTGCGTCCACACTGCGGGGCACGTGCTCAGGACACTGTGCTGCCGGCAGCCTGGCAGAGGGGCAGCAGAGTTGAGTAAACCGGGGTCTAAGGAATCACCGTGTGACGACGGTGATCCTGACGCTTGCTAAGAAGATTTTTTTTTGGCTAAAAGCTTTCTGTCAGTTAGGTCTTTATAAAGGGCAGGTGTGTGTCTCGGTCCGCTTCTGCAGCTGTCCCCGGGGGCTGTGGTGGGGGCTCTGAGCCCGCACCCTCTCCACGGGGCACAGCCCAGCAGGTCCCTGAAGCCCTCCCGGATTTGCAGCACACACTGTTTCTGCCTGCTCTTCTGTCTCCTCCCTGGCCTGAGGGCCGCCTGCCCAGGGACCTGCCTCCTCCTGGGCGCTGAGCCCCGCCCACCCACGGCTTCTGCCGAATCTGTAGAGACCTCACCTCCTTCCCCTCTCAGACTGGAATTGGAGAGACAGAGGGGAGTTCCCTGCAGCTGTCTTGGTGTTGACGCTGCGCTGGTGATCTTTGTTGTGTGTGTGGGTTTATCTTTTCCAGATGGATTCTGGCTGCTGGAAGTACATTTTGTGGTCCTGGCTTGAGCACAGGTTGGAAAGTGCTGTCCACTGTGTGCATGGCCGTGAGGTGGCCATCAGAGCTCACTGAGTCTCCTGCCCCGGCTGGGTTTTTCCTGCCCTCAGTCACCGTGTGCAATAACCAAGCGTGGCAGCCTCCTTCCAAGTGCTTACGCTCCCTGAGGTTTCCAGGAGCCCTGGGACGGTGGGGTCCTGGCTGCCCCAGTGCCCCCCAGCTGGGTGCAGTGACACCGCCCTTGTCCCCACAGCGCCATCGCGTCCATCCTGAGGGCCTGGCTCGACCAGTGTGCTGAGGACTTCTGGGAGCCCCCTCTCTTCCCCTGCCTGCACCGGCTGCTGGCCTACCTGCAGCGGGCCATGCCGGGCTCGGACCCAGAGCGGAGGGCTCAGGGGCTGCTGGAGCAGTTCCAGAAACAGGACGTGGAGACGGACAGTGAGTACTGCTGGCCTGTGGACCCCGCCCGACCCCGGTGGCCCAGCGGGACCTGGCTGCCTGGGGCGGGTGTGGTGCAGGAGCCCCAGGTGCCCGCAGGGCTGCTCGCGAGGCCCGACCCCTCCCAGCCCGCTCCCTCGTTGCACAGGTGAGGAACCCGCGGCTCACGTGGGCTGAGTGCTCGCTGTGGGTTTCCCACGACTGCTTAGCTGCCCAGCCTGCACCTGCTCGCGCTGCCACTTCCCCAGCCCAGGGTGAGCCCGTGCCAGGCGGCCAGCCCTCCCCAGCAGGCAGGAGCGCATCCAGCTCCACCCCTGCTCTCCCCAGAGCTCGCAAAAGGGCTTCCCCTCCCACGCGTGAGCTCTGCCAGCCAGAGCTCGTCACCCCGCACCTCGGCAGAGGAAGTCTCTGGGGCTGTTTCTTCCCAAGTGACTGCAGTATCGGGGACGCCCCTGCACGCCGTGGGGGGCTTGGCGCGCTCAGGCTTTGAGGGAGGTCGGGTGTGAGGGCTGGGGTGGGGCCGTGGCCGTGGCAGCTGACCCACTCGGAGCCTGTGGCAGAGTGTGGTGGCTGATTTCCTCGGGGAGGGAACGGGAACGGCTCGTCGGCACAGAAGCTCCCTGGGTGCCAATGAAAACAGGCTGATGTCCATGCAGTGCCCTGAGCGCTGCCCACAGGGCGCACTTGCAACTCCAGCCCCTGCCGCCCTCGCCCACGTGCGCCCCTCAGTGGCAGCTGCCGGCCGGCCTCAGGACTGCCCCCGAGCCAGGGTGCTGGGTTGGCCACACCCACGAATGAGCCTGTGTTCAATGTGGACAGTTTTCTTCAAGAAAGCCCCCAGCCCTGCCTGCTGAGTGCAGGGGTCCTCCCTGGGGCAGGCCAAGCCTTTGCACCCATGAGCCTCTGCGCTGTCCACATGTGTGGGGCAGCTGGTGAGGGCGCGTGAGGCCCACTCGGAATTCTTGTTGGGACCTGGATGTACTCTGCTGCACGAGAGAGTGCCAGGGCTGTGTGTAGGGAAAACGGAAAAGTCACCTCTGCAACGTGCTCCACACTCCTTCAGGTCCTCCCGTGTGTGTCCTGGACTCCAGGGGCAGGCCGGGACCCCGCCTCATTCTCAGTCCTAATCCAGCCCCCTCTGCGTTGGGATCACCCACGGCGTGGTCAGGGGCAAGTCCCCGTCACATTCCCGCCACCAGAGGGTGCAGGCACCACTTTCCCCCTGAACCCAGAACAGTCCACCCCAGCTTGGTCCAGGATGCCCCAGATTCTTCAATTCCACAAAGAGAAACAGCTTAAAAAGCAGCACACACATCTGGGGGGAGGTGGCTCCCTGGACCCCACCTCTGCTGAGACAGCAGGGAGAGGAGGAACCGGGAGGCCCAGGGCACACCTGCTCCAGTCAGGCCTCTCCTGGGTGCGAGTCCAGCGGTTTTCTGCGTGCCCCGGGGCTGTGCCCATGTCTGTCCATTGGTGATGGCTGTGGTCAGGCTCCCCTGCAAGCAGCTCTGTGCAGTCTGAGGATTCTGTAGGCTCTCTGAGAACCGAGGGCTTCGTGAGCGTGGCTGACGCCAGAGTGGCCCGGCCCACTCACGGAGACTGCCTCCTTCCTGCCCACTGCCCCAGGCCTCTCTTCCAAGAGCTCCCCCTGCCCCGCCCCAAGAATGATGTGTCTGGGCCTAGCAGTTAGCTGGGCTAGTCCTGGAGCTGATCCTTCGGCGTGTTGAGGATGTCACCGTGCCTGGCTCTGACCTCGGCCTAGGACCCAGGGGTTTGTGTGTGGTGGCCCGACGCCCTGGGTACACGCAGAGACGGAGGCCCGTGCCTCCCAGACCAGGCCGACTGCGCCTGCTCTGCCCCCTGTTGGTGCTCTCTGCTTAGCCTTAGCTGTCCAGTTCAGCCTGAGCAGTTCTCTGCTGTGGCGCAAATCGGATTCTTTTCCCGCATGTGAGCAGACGGGCCTCCCACCACCATCTCCTTCTGCCTGGAGGAGGAAGAGGGGCTGGAGGCCGGAGGACCGGCAGAATTCACCTGCTTCTCGGAGGACCTGGTGGCGGAGCAGCTGACCTACATGGATGCGGTATGTGTTCTCCGTGGCACCAGGTGGGGAGGCTGGGCAGGCAGGCCTCCCTGAGCCGTCCGAGAAATTCAGGCCGAGTTCCTGGAGTCTCGGGTGGAGGCGCCTTTTGCTTGAAGCTCTGGACGGGGTGAGAAGTGAGAATTCTAAGCCCGTGGAACCAGATCTGCCCGTCCCGTGGTATTTCCCTCCTGTAGGCCCACAAATACTTCAGGAGCTGAGCTGTTCACTCAGAGGACCGTGCAGGGGTCAGAGCCCAAGTTAGGAAAAGGCCGAGTCTGGGGCTCGTGTCCACGTGTGCTTCGTGTGTCCACGAAGGCCGGGTGCTCTGGCAGCTGTGCGTGACTGCGTCAGTCACAGCTCATGGCCCCACGGAAGCAGAGAGGCCTGTGGGCTGTGTCCGGCCTCAGGCTGTCCGCCTGTCTGTCACCACCATGGCCCAGCAGGTGGCAGAGTCCCCTGCTCCTCGCGTGAGCAAGTGAGAGTGACCTGCTCGCGTTTCCTCTCGGCTTCCGCGATCGGGAGTGTAACAGGAGCACGGAGGACTTTGCAGGCCCCTCATTCCAGAGCAGACCTGGCCCCACGTCCACTTCCTCGCCCTCCCCGGGAGGCGCTGGATCACCCCCTCCCCCCCGCCCGGCGCTTCCTGCTGTGTTCATGTCGCAGACAGAGTGCGCGACATCGGCCGGCGTGGTGTGCACCGTGCCCATCCTCTGCCCCGGAGACGGTTCTTGGCGTGAGGGCCGCGGACGCACCAGGATGTGATCTGGAAGCTAAAATGACCCCAACCACTGCTTTCTTTCCCTTTTTATTTTTTCTGAGTCGTAGTGTGGGTTTTACCTGAATTTCCTTTCAATTTCCTTGCTTGTTGAGCAGGCCGAAGAGCTGGCGTAGTCTTTCTGACCTCTGCCCTCGTGAGGGACGGTGTGTGCTAGTGGTTTGACCGCAGCTGGAATGGCCACCAGGAGGCAGGGAGAGGGCTGCGTGCCCAGGGTAGGGGCTTTGCTGGTGCGAGGCCCGCGCCGCCCTCACAGCCCTGCCCTTGTCTCTTCCAGCAACTCTTCAAGAAAGTGGTGCCCCACCACTGCCTGGGCTGCGTCTGGTCGCAGCGGGACAGGAAGGGGAACAAGCACCTGGCGCCCACGATCCGCGCCACCATCTGTCAGTTCAATGCGCTCACCAGGTGTGTTGTCAGCACCGTCCTGGGCGGCAGGGAGCTCAAGACCCAGCAGAGGGCCAGGGCCATCGAGAAGTGGATCGGTGTTGCTCATGTGAGTCGCAGGGTAGCCGCTGCGGGGGCCGCCCGAGCTCCGAGTCGGGGCTCTGGCCGTGAGGGAGGCTTGCGGCATGCTACTGTAGCTTCAGAGAGGGAGAGGGAGAGGGAGAGAGGGAGAGAGAGGGAGGGAGGGAGGGAGCGAGGCAGGGAGGCAGGTGCCGTCTTCCCTTGGGAGCAGGCTTATTTCTCCTGTGAGACTGGTGTCCAGCCCACTCCTGTGCACTGGGTGCCCCACCGAGGCTGTGGCACCTGCAGCACCAGCTGTTCCTGCCACGCCCTCTGCCCTCTGCCCTCTGCCCTCAGCATGGTGCAGGCTTGTGGCCGGGCAGCACCCTGGGCCGAGCTTCATCCCAGCATCAGTGCCTGCGCCTGGCCACCTCCTTGGGACCCTGGTCTGTGTCTAAGGGCTGCACACCCAGATCTCATTCAGGGTGTACTCATCCCCAGAGCCTGCTCAGCTCCTGTTGTACCTCCATGAGAAAGTGACAGCATCCAGGCAGGCGGTCACCAGTGCTGGGTGAGCCCCTGACCCTGTGAGCTCCTGACCAGTGTGAGCCCCGCCCCCTGTGAGCCCTGCCCCCTGTGAGCCCCGCCCCCTGTGAGCCCCGCCCCCTGTGAGCCCCGCCCCCTGTGAGCCCTGCCCCCTGTGAGCCCCTGACCCCGTGAGCTCCTGACCCCGTGAGCTCCTGACCAGTGTGAGCCCCGCCCCCGTGAGCCCCGCCCCCTGTGAGCCCCGCCCCCTGTGAGCCCCAGCCCCCTGTGATCCCCCGCCCCCTGTGAGCCCCCGCCCCCTGTGAGCCCCCGCCCCCTGTGAGACCCGCCCCCTGTGAGCCCTGCCCCCTGTGAGCCCCTGACCCCCTGAGCTCCTGACCCCGTGAGCTCCTGACCAGTGTGAGCCCTGCCCCCTGTGAGCCCCGCCCCCTGTGAGCCCTGCCGCCTGAGCCCCCGCCCCCTGTGAGCCCCGCCCCCTATGAGCCCCTGCCACTTGTGAGCCCTGCCCCCTGTGAGCCCCCGCCCCCTGTGAGCCCTGCTCCCGTGAGCCCCTGACCCCATGAGCTCCTGACCAGTGTGAGCCCCGCCCCCTGTGAGCCCTGACCCCTGTGAGCCCCGCCCCCTGTGAGCCCCACCCCCTGTGTGCCCCGCCCCCTGTGAGCCCTGCCCCTGTGAGCCCTGCCCCCTGTGAGCCCCGCCCCCTGTGAGCCCCGCCCCCTGTGAGCCCCTGCCCCCTGTGAGCCCTGCCCCTGTGAGCCCCGCCCCCTGTGAGCCCTGCCCCCTGTGAGCCCCGCCCCCTGTGAGCCCTGCCCCCTGAGCCCCGCCCCCTGTGAGCCCCACCCCCTGTGAGCCCCGCCCCTGTGAGCCCTGCCCCTGTGAGCCCTGCTCCCATGAGTCCCTGCCCCCTGTGAGCCCCGCCCCCTGTGAGCCCCTGCCCCCTGTGAGCCCTGCCCCTGTGAGCCCCCGCCCCCTGTGAGCCCCGCCCCTGTGAGCCCCTGCCCCTTTGGGTCCTTTAGGGAGGCGGTGGGATGTTGCAGCCATTCAGGGAGGGAACCAGCAGATGGAAGCGTGCGCGCGCTCTCTCTCTCTCTCTCTCTCACCTTCAAGTAAGTTAATCTTAAAGAAAAAGCAATTTTATTTGAAAAGCCCAGCCTATTTTGGAAGCACAGGTGTGCCAAGGTGTTTCTGGATGTTTGTGGTTGCAGGACAAGCCAATTTGAAACCACATGAATGTGAATAAACATGTTTCCCCTCGGCTACGGCACAAAAGCCAAAGCTGATCACTTCACCAAGTGAGGCTTCTATTCTTGAGCTCCTGGTATCTAGGACAGGGTGGGTCAGAGATGGTCAGCGCCATCCGCACCCAGCGTGGCTGCTGCGCCCAGCCCTGTCTGGTGCACAGGCCCCACCCTTGTCCTGAGTATCCCGTGTATGTGTGTCTGGTGTAAAGGGCCCGCCCTCGTCCTGAGTGTCCCGTGTGTGTCTGCTGCACAAGGCCCGCCCTCGTCCTGAGTGTTCCCGTGTATGTGTGTGTGTGTGTCTGGTGCACAGGACCCACCCTCGTCCTGAGTGTCCCGTGTGTGTGTGTCTGGTGCACAGGGCCTACCCTCGTCCTGAGTGTTCCCGTGTGTGTGTGTGTGTCTGGTGCACAGGACCCACCCTCGTCCTGAGTGTCCCGTGTGTGTGTGTGTGGTGCACAGGCCCCACCCTCGTCCTGAGTGTTCCCGTGTGTGTGTGTGTGTCTGGTGCACAGGACCCACCCTCGTCCTGAGTGTCCCGTGTGTGTGTGTCTGGTGCACAGGACCCACCCTCGTCCTGAGTGTTCCCGTGTGTGTGTGTGTGTCTGGTGCACAGGACCCACCCTCGTCCTGAGTGTTCCCGTGTGTGTGTGTGTGTCTGGTGCACAGGGCCCACCCTCGTCCTGAGTGTCCCGTGTGTGTGTGTGTGTGGTGCACAGGGCCCACCCTCGTCCTGAGTGTCCCGTGTGTGTGTGTGTCTGGTGCACAGGGCCCGCCCTCGTCCTGAGTGTCCCGTGTGTGTGTGTGTGGTGCACAGGGCCCGCCCTCGTCCTGAGTGTCCCGTGTGTGTGTGTGTCTGGTGCACAGGGCCCGCCCTCGTCCTGAGTGTCCCGTGTGTGTGTGTCTGGTGCACAGGGCCCGCCCTCGTCCTGAGTGTCCCGTGTGTGTGTGTCTGGTGCACAGGGCCCGCCCTCGTCCTGAGTGTCCCGTGTGTGTGTGTGTGGTGCACAGACCCCACCCTCGTCCTGAGTGTCCCCGTGTGTGTGAGTCTGGTGCACAGGGCCCGCCCTCGTCCTGAGTGTCCCGTGTGTGTGTGTCTGGTGCACAGGGCCCGCCCTCGTCCTGAGTGTCCCCGTGTGTGTGTGTGTGTGTGTCTGGTGCACAGGCCCCACCCTCGTCCTGAGTGTCCCGTGTGTGTGTGTGTCTGGTGCACAGGGCCCACCCTCGTCCTGAGTGTCCCGTGTGTGTGAGTCTGGTGCACAGGGCCCACCCTCGTCCTGAGTGTCCCGTGTGTGTGTGTGTGTGGTGCACAGGGCCCACCCTCGTCCTGAGTGTCCCATGTGTGTGTGTGTGGTGCACAGGGCCCGCCCTCGTCCTGAGTGTCCCGTGTGTGTGTGTGTCTGGTGCACAGGGCCCACCCTTGTCCTGAGTGTCCCGTGTGTGTGTGTCTGGTGCACAGGGCCCACCCTCGTCCTGAGTGTCCCGTGTGTGTGTCTGGTGCACAGGCCCAACCCTCGTCCTGAGTGTCCCGTGTGTGTGTGTGTGTGTATCTGGTGCACAGGGCCCACCCTCATCCTGAGTGTCCCGTGTGTGTGTCTGGTGCACAGGGCCCACCCTCGTCCTGAGTGTTCCATGTGTGTGTGTCTGGTGCACAGGGCCCACCCTCGTCCTGAGTGTCCCGTGTGTGTGTGTCTGGTGCACAGGGCCTACCCTCGTCCTGAGTGTCCCATGTGTGTGTGTATCTGGTGCACAGGGCCCACCCTCGTCCTGAGTGTTCCATGTATGTGTGTCTGGTGCACAGGGCCCACCCTCGTCCTGAGTGTTCCATGTGTGTGTGTCTGGTGCACAGGGCCCACCCTCGTCCTGAGTGTCCCGTGTGTGTGTGTCTGGTGCACAGGGCCTACCCTCGTCCTGAGTGTCCCATGTGTGTGTGTATCTGGTGCACAGGGCCCACCCTCGTCCTGAGTGTTCCATGTATGTGTGTCTGGTGCACAGGGCCCACCCTCGTCCTGAGTGTCCCGTGTGTGTGTGTGTGTCTGGTGCACAGGGCCCGCCCTCGTCCTGAGTGTCCCGTGTGTGTGTGTGTCTGGTGCACAGGGCCCGCCCTCGTCCTGAGTGTCCCGTGTGTGTGTGTCTGGTGCACAGGGCCCGCCCTCGTCCTGAGTGTCCCGTGTGTGTGTGTGTGTGGTGCACAGGGCCTGCCCTCGTCCTGAGTGTCCCCGTGTGTGTGTGTGTGTGTGTCTGGTGCACAGGCCCTTCTCTAGCACAATAGCGCCATAGGTGACCCATATTCGTGTTTTTACTGGGAAAGCTGGAAGCTGTAGAACTTAATAGCCTCACAGACAGTGTGTTAGAGGCAGGAACGCAAGCAAACGGGGCCAGAATCCCTGTGAGTCTCCGTGCCCGCGGTGCGAGAAGGGGCCACTTCTCTGTGCTGTTTACACAGCTGCAGATTCCGAGGGAGGAATCCATAGCGGCTGGGGTAGCTCTGAGGCAGGAAACCAGCACCTCACCACGTGCCTGTCCATCACTCCCCCACCTCACCACATCCCTGTGTCCATCACTCCCCCACCTCACCACATCCCTGTGTCCATCACTCCCCCCACCTCACCACATCCCTGTGTCCATCACTCCTCCCCCTCACCACATCCCTGTGTCCATCACTCCCCCACCTCACCACATCCCTGTCCATCACTCCCCCACCTCACCACGTCCCTGTGTCCATCACTCCCCCACCTCACCACATCCCTGTGTCCATCACTCCCCCACCTCACCACATCCCTGTGTCCATCACTCCCCCACCTCACCACATCCCTCTGTCCATCACTCCTCCCCCTCACCACATCCCTGTCCATCACTCCCCCACCTCACCACGTCCCTGTGTCCATCACTCCCCCACCTCACCACATGCCTGTGTCCATCACTCCCCCACCTCACCACGTCTCTGTCCATCACTCCCCCACCTCACCATGTGCCTGTCCATCCCTCCCCCCACCTCACCATGTGCCTGTCCATCCCTCCCCCCACCTCACCATGTCCCTGTGTCCATCACTCCCCCCCCTCACCACATCCCTGCCCGTCACTCCCCCCACCTCACCACGTCCCTGTCCACCACTCCCCCACCTCACCACGTCCCTGTCCATCGCTCCCCCCACCTCACCACCTCCCTGTCCGTCACTCCCCCACCTCACCACATCCCTGTTCATCACTCCCCCACCTCACCACGTGCCTGTGTCCATCACTCCCCCACCTCACCACATCCCTGTGTCCATCACTCCCCCACCTCACCACGTCCCTGTGTCCATCACTCCTCCCCCTCACCACATCCCTGTCCACCACTCCCCCACCTCACCACATCCCTGTCCATCACTCCCCCACCTCACCACGTCCCTGTCCATCACTCCCCCACCTCACCTCGCCCCTGTCCATCACTCCCCCACCTCACCACATCCCTGTCCATCACTCCCCCACCTCACCACGTCCCTGTCCATCGCTCCTCCACAGGAATGCCGGCTCCTGAAGAACTTCTCCTCCCTGCGGGCCATTGTGTCTGCTCTGCAGTCCAACTCCGTCTACCGGTTAAAGAAGACGTGGGCCGCGGTCCCCAAGTGAGTCCCCACCTCCACCTGCTACTCTCCATTTAGAGTGTGTCAGGGATGCCCTGTGCATGTGGGCAGTTCCCGCGTGGCTGCCATGGGCCCCAGGCAAGGCTTAGTGTGGCTCAGACCGTCCTCGACCTGTGGCAAAGCCAGGGTGATCCTTGGCTGTGCCCGCCCCCGGGCTTGAAGGGGGGCGATTGTGCTGCCTGAGCACAGCACCGCCGGGTGTCTCCCGCCTTCCAGAGCCCTGATCGTGCGAGGTGCGGCTGGGACGTGGGCTCCTGCTGTGGGCTGGGTTTGTGCGGCGGCACATCGGAAGCCCTGGTGGTGTCTGTGGAACTGCCACGTGCACCTTCCCAGACACCTGACTGAGCGCTGCACGGCCCACGGCCTCTGCTTTTCTCCCTGCACACTTCTTATTAGAACCGTGAACAACTTAATTTCATGCTATTTCTCTGTTGCTGTTTCTTGCATTTCCAGAACCTTCCTTGCAGACCAGAGGCGTGGGGGAGGGGGAGGGGCCCTCGTGGTCCTGCCCCAGGCAGTGCCCACGTGGAGGCCAGGGTTGTATCGGAGCTCAAAGAATGACCACAAGTCCCCTTTGCCCAGTTTCAACCAAGCGTGGTCCCAACACAGGGGCAGGCTCCGTCGTAGCCAGAGAATAGGAAGCCACAGGACAGCCGCATGGTCCAGAGGCGTGGTCCTCTGGGCATCGGCACGGCTGCCCGGCCGCCTGCTAGGACAGCAGGTCTCGGTTACAGGCGCGTTAGCGGTGGGTCACGTGATCAGCGGGACCCTTAGGTGTGTCCGTGCTGCCTCTGTCGCCATCGCAGTGGCCTGGGCTGAGCTTCTGTGGGGCATTGGCCGACAGCTGGTTTTGTGATCCGGCAACAGTGGCCAGAACAGCAGAAAGACCGTGTCCGGTCACTTCCCTGAGGGTCAGAGCAGACTTCCTGCCACGCTGGGCTAGATGCCCTGGAACTGTGTCCTGAAGACACTGCTGTGTCTGCGGTCCTGCCGTGTGGCGGTGGCATCGGATCAGCTGGACCCTTAGGTGCGTCAGGGGTCTGGCCTGCGGTCGCTCAGTCCCAGGGGAAGTGGTGAGGCAGTCAGGCTGTGGGCGCAGACAGTGTGGGCTCCCTGTGGTCTGGGGCCCTGGTGGGTTTGTCCCTAGAGTGGGGGTCCAGGCACAGACAGTGTGGACTCCCTGTGGTCTGGGGCCCTGGTGGGTTTGTCCCCAGAGTGGGGGTCCAAGCTCTGGTTTCCTCAGCCCAGTCAGAGCTCATGGAGCTACGCGCAAGACAGCTAGGTTGGTGAAGCAGAGTTTGGCAAGCCTGCTGGCTGCGATTTGGAGCAGTGGGCAGGCCAGGAGTGCGTGTTGGGGAGAACGGCCCCTGTCCAGGGAGAAGCCGGGCCATTGGCCCGAGATGCCGTGGCGAGTAGACGTGAGAGCTGCACTCACGACCTCAGGCCTGGCCGTGGCTGCCTCGGCGAGCGGCTGGCAGAGTCCGGGGCGGTGCCTGGGTTTCCACTTCCCTGCATCCTTCTTCCTCTTTTTGATGACGATGGCGGCCGTGTGTGTGGGAGATGAGCTGGTGGCTTCTGCCCTACACACACATCTCAGGGAAGACATGGCTCCTGGGAACCCTTGTGTGGCGGGAGACTCATCCTTGGCAAACCCATCCCCCTCCCTCCTCTCGGCAGTATCCGCCCCCCTCCCCGGACACCTGGCATCGAGACCCTAGGGATGGGCAGGTGTAAGATAGAGCCTGGCTCAGATGTGGCCGCTTCTGGCCGCGAGAGCAGTGGTCCTGCCGGCCTTTCTTTGGGGCTGGCAGGGAGACCATGATGGAGCCACTTGGCCAGCCTGAGGCTGCTGCCCCCGCGCGTTGGAGGGAGAAGCACAAGTTAAGTGCCTGGACTTGTGCCTTGGTCTGCCTGGCCTGTTCCTAAACTCTGTAGAAAGCAAGCAAAGCTGTCTCCGTGCGAGGCGAGCGCGGCTTGTCTCCTGCCAGCCGGCTGCCCCAGAGGGGTCCCCCCCGTGGTGGAGAGGCTCCCACAGCCCCTGCCGAAGCTGTCTCACGCCTGCTTGTCTCGCTGCCTTCTCCGTGTGGGGCTGCCGCTGTCCTAGTGTGAGCAGACAGGTGATGGTGCAGACGCTGACTCATTCACCGAGTCACGGGCTGGCGCCTGCACGGGGCCGTGGCACCTGCACTGCACAAGGAGATGGAAGGCAGGAGGCCGTGAGCTAGCCCAGGCTGGCCCTGCAAGTGGGGTCAGTCGCACCCCGTTGGCTGCAGCGTCTGCTCTGGCTCTCAGGGCAGGGACACTGGCCTCGGGCCACCTGTGGGGTCCTGCTGGGCTGCGGCTGGGGCTGGGTGTGGTCGACGGTTCTCACCTCACCGCACAGCTCGGTCTTTTCTGTGAGCACAGCGCGCCAGGCTGCTGTGCTGCTCACGGCGGCTGTGCCCGCTTTGCAGACAGAAGCAGCCCTGGAGAACCTCTGGGTCAGCCCCGTGCCCTGGCACCTGTCCCCGGGGCGGCGGGTGACCGTGCGCCTCGTCTCCCTCGCAGGGACCGCGTGCTGATGCTGGAGGAGCTCTCGGACATCTTCTCAGACCACAACAACCACTTGACCAGCCGGGAGCTGCTGATGAAGGTGAGGCTCGGGAGGGCCACGCGGGGGCCACGCGGGGCTCAGCGGCCCCTTGGCTCGCGCCGTCGCTGAGACTTCCAAGTCCATTGCTCTCCTCTGCGGCCCGCCCGACGTTGACACTGGAGTTCAGGCGTGCAGTGCTGTACTCCGCAGGGCGAGGAGGCCACCGCCACGACGCCACGCCCTGCATCGGGCCAGGCTGCTGCTGAGCCCTGCTTCTAGAAGGCAGCGAGCCGGGGGTTTGCCGTCCAGGTGGTGAGTGGGACACAAAGACAGAGACCACAGGCTGGGGCCAGGCATGGGAGCTGGCCCAGGCCAGCGGCTCCACAGCCTCTGTGAAGTGGCTGTTGCGTGCCCTGAGGAGCCCGCGTCGTGGGTGGTGGAGCTGACACGTGGCTCCGCCTGCCCTCGTGACTTAGGCACAGGCTGTTTCTTCTGAGCCCTTGAGAGGGAAGCGGGGCGTCTCGGGGGAGCTTGACAGAGAGGGTCAGTCAGGACTCCAGCAGGGCTGGGGCCCACCCACGTGCCCAGTGCTGCACCGACCCCACGTCTCCCGTCTCCGCGATCGAGGGCCTCCTGCGGGCCACAGGGAAGCCGTTCTGTGGTTGTGTCCCACGACGGGGGGCGGTGGGAAGGCAGGCAGTTATGCAGCCGTGTGCCCCCTCCCCTCCCTGGGGGCAGGGGTGGCCCTGCCTGGACAACTGGAAGACGCGGCTCTTGTCTTCCTTCTGCGTCTGTAACTGGAGACCCCAGCCTTGCGCTCCTGACCTCAGAGTGCTCTGGAGACGGAGCACAGCAAAGCTTGCAGGCTCTGTGCAGATGTGAGGGTCCCCATCCCGCCCAGGCGTGCCCAGCGCGTGACACGCTCAGGAGAGTGGGGAGGAGTGGACGTCGAGGCTAGCACCCCCGCGCGTGTCTGCTGCGCCCTCCCAGCCGCTCAGCTGCACGACTCAGTGTGGACCCGGCTTCCCTGGTCCCCCAGGTCCCCTGTGCTCCTCTGTCCTGCGCCTGCCCACGTCTCTGCGGCCTGGAGGCCTCCTGGGGCGTCTCTGTTGCTTTGGTGTCCCCGAGGCCCGGAGCGAGCGTCGGCGTGCCAGCTCCCCTTGCTGCCGTGACGCCGCGGTGCGCCCACCACGGCCCTGCAGCAGGCGAGGTGCACAGGCAGCTTGTCCTGGCGTCCGACTTCGGGTCCAGGCGACCTGACGGGGCGCTGACGGGTCAGTGTGGGGACCGCACTCCTCGCTGCTTCCCGTCTCCCTGGACTTACAGACTCCAGGTGGAAGGAGGTAGCCTGGTGGTCCTCCTGTCCACAGTGTGAAGCCAGGCTGGCCGCAGCCACGTGCACAGAGCACGGCGGCCCTGGGTCGTGCTTCCCTGCAGGTAAGGTGAACCCTGTGCAGCTGCTGCCAGAGCCGAGGAGCAAAGCCATGCAGACAGGCCCCCCTAAACCTTGGGGCACACGTGCACCCCAGAACACGGAGTTGCCTTTCTCCTGTGTGGCTCAAATTCCCGAGAACTGACAGGCTTGGTGGAGCAGCCCCGTGGGGGCGTCGCTGGCGCGCTTTGGGCGCTCGTCCTCTCTGTTGACTGCTCTTCGTGCAAAGTGTGTGGTTACAGGTTCGCAGGATGGAGTGAGGCGTGGCCCCGGGGCACCGAGGTTCCAGAAGCACGAGGCGGCCTCCCGGCCCTGCCCCTGCTGGGTCTGCACGCTGCTTTGCTGCCGCTGCTCCGGGGTCCAGCCTGCCTTCCGCAGCTGGGCAGGGGCAGCGTGCCGCCTCTGCTTTTCCTCTTCACTGTCAGGGAGCGATGTCTCAGTCCTTAGGTTTCTCACAGATGATCGTGAGCAGTGACTGGGGGCTGCGACTTTAAAACCACAAGAAATCTTTCTTCTTGGCCGGCGCTGTGGCTCACTAGGCTAATCCTCTGCCTTGCGGTGCCGGCACACCGGGTTCTAGTCCTGGTTGGGGCGCCGGATTCTGTCCCGGTTGCCCCTCTTCCAAGCCAGCTCTCTGCTGTGTCCTGGGAAGGCAGTGGAGGATGGCCCAAGTGCTCCCAAGTGCTCCAAGTCTCCCCGTGGGAGACCAGGAGAATCACCTGGCTCCTGGCTTCGGATCAGCGCGGTGCGCCGGCCGCAGCGGCCATTGGAGGGTGAACCAACGGCAAAGGAAGACCTTTCTCTCTGTCTCTCTCTCTCTCACTGTCCACTCTGCCTTTCAAAAAAAAAAAAAAAATCCTGCTTCTCGTGGCTCTTGGTGACTCAGTTCCGGCTGAACCGACGTAGACAACTCCCCGGGAGCCCCCAGACATGGCTGCTGGAGACAGGTGGATGTGTAGTTGTGCTCCGTAAGCTGTCACAGGCGAACTGGAGCAGGAGATGTTGGAGCCGTGCCGTCTCCAGAGCTGGTAGAAGACGAGAGTTCTGAGCCCTGGGCCCATCGTGCTGGGGCAGTGGCAGGGCACAGCTCTGCCCCCGCGGGAGGGAGAGAGGACGTGGGGACTGGCGAGGGTCTCCACGGGCGCGAATGCAGCACAACACAACACGGTAGCCGTGGCGGAAGGGAGAGGAGGACCAGGAGAGCGTGGGCACAGGAGGGCAGGAGGATGGCTGGACACTGCCGCACGGGAGCTCCTGGAAGGTTCCAGGGATCCGCGTGGAGGTTGAGGACGGGGCAGGAAAGGAAAGCATGGAAGGCGCAGGTGCAGTGGGTGGGGGTTCCAGCAGGTCTCAGAGGAGGGGCAGGGGGCCTGCAGTGCGTTCCCCGCACCCCTCGGGGCACGGCAGTCACTGCGCCCGTGGGCCCTCCCCAGGTCCTCCTCTCCTCCCCGTGCAGAGCGTGTCCTCAGGAAGCCCTCTCTCGTGGCCCCTGCTGCTGCGTTGAACCTGTCGGTCACCTCCGCATGCCACACCTCTGGGCCATCGCGTCGGGAGCAGGGGGGACGTCTCTGTGGCAGACTGCTCTTGGTGGTCTTGGGAAAGTCGCCAAGCAGTAGCTCCCTGGGAGTCCCATGGAGAAGTGAGCTGGTGCAGGTGCCAGGAGGGGATGGGGCTGGCTGTGAGCCCCACACAGGGGACGCAGAGAGACGTGAGCTGACCTCAGACACCCCCAGGACAGGGCCATCTCTCTCACAGGGCCAAGATGGCGAAACTGTGCCCGTGCGGGGCCCAGGCTGGGCACAGTGACGCCAGGCACAGTGATGCCGTGCTGGGCCTGGGCTGTCACAGGGACGCCGTGTGGGGCCTGGGTTTTCACAGGGATGCCATGCGGGGCCTGGGCTGTCACAGGGACACCGTACTGGGCCTGGGCTGTCACAGGGACGCCATGCAGGGCCTGGGCTGTCACAGGGACAGTGTGCGGGGCCTGGGCTGTCGCAGTGATGCTGTGCAGGGTCTGGGCTGTCAAGGACGCCATACGCAGTGACGCCGTGCGGGGCCTGGGCTGTCACAGGGACGCTGTGCAGGGCCTGGGCTGTGTCAGGGATGCCGTGCAGGGCCTGGGCTGTGTCAGGGATGCCGTGCGGGGCCTGGGCTGTGTCAGGGATGCCGTGCAGGGCCTGGGCTGTGTCAGGGACACCGTGCGGGGCCTGAGCCTGGGCTGTGTCAGGGACGCCGTGCAGGGCCTGGGCTGTGTCAGTGACAACGTGCGGGGCCTGAGCCTGGGCTGTGTCAGGGACGCCGTGCGGGGCCTGGGCCTGGGCTGTGTCAGGGACGCCGTGCGGGGCCTGGGCCTGGGCTGTGTCAGGGACGCCGTGCAGGGCCTGGGCTGTGTCAGTGACAACGTGCGGGGCCTGGGCTGTGTCAGGGACACCGTGCGGGGCCTGGACCTGGGCTGTGTCAGGGACGCCGTGCGGGGCCTGGGCCTGGGCTGTCACAGGGACACCGTGCGGGGCTTGGGCCTGGGCTGTCACAGGGACACCGTGCGGGGCCTGGGCCTGGGCTGTGTCAGGGATGCCGTGCGGGGCCTGGGCCTGGGCTGTCACAGTGCACGAGGGTCTGTGCTTGCGCATCCAGGCCGGCAGTTGCAAAGCAGGCCCTTGGCACAGGGAAGGGGACGAGCGGAGGCCTCTAGGACACGTGGCCACCAGCCCCTCTGTGTGCTCCTTCCTAGGAGGGAACCTCCAAGTTCGCCAACCTGGACAGCAGCGTGAAAGAGAACCAGAAGCGTAGCCAGCGGCGGCTGCAGCTCCAGAAAGACATGGTGGGTCCCTCCTGCTCGCCAGGGCCCGCGGGGGTTCCTCCTGTGCCCTACTCCCTCTCCCCGACCCGGCTCGCGCAGCCCTGTCACCCCCGCATGGCCTGAGAGCTGCCAGGACCCCCGTCCCTGTCTCCTCAGTCGCTCAGGGGCTTCATGGCCTGGACTCGGCGCTCGCCCTGCTGCAGGTGGCCTTGGCTGCTCCTCAGGGGAGGGAGCATGAGCGGGACTGCGCGGGGCACCCCTCGCCGCCTCCTCCCACAGGCACACAGGCGTTTCTGGCTTTTGTGGTTGTGCAAAGACAAGTGTAAAATAGCTGTTAGCGAAAAGAACAGGAGCTTCAGGTGAGGACGCGGCGATGCCCACGTTGGAGGGGGCCTGGGGCTGCTGACAGCGCTGCTCGAGGCCCCGCCCCTTCCCCTCGGGCCCTGTGAGGGCCCCGCCTTCCCTCCCGAGGGCAGTTGTAGAACACAAGCCTGTTCTTGGGGAAGTGTGCGTGGGGATCCTGTGACGGCCCTGCCGGTGCCAGCATTCGGCATCTCCGTCTTCAGCAGTGGGACACGGAGGCCACCAGGTTTCAGTTAGTGGCCTTGCTGGTGGCGGTGCATGGGGCGTGGTGGCCTGAGCTGGCATGTGACCACTCGCTGCCCCTCCTCCACTCTGACGGTGGATACCCTGCAGGGGCCACGGCCACTCCCTGAGCCGTGCTGTGCTGTGCTCGGGCCTGTGTGTGATCTCCGTGACTTTGGAAGTTTGGCCTGAGGTCATGTGCAGCCCCTGTCCCACCTGCGTAGGAGCTGGAGAATTCATTTGTGCAGCTCAGCACCCGTGGCCTCCAGTTAGGCCTTGGGCCTTGTGCGTGCTGACCCTGGCTGTTCTCTGATTGCCCCTCAGGGCGTCATGCAGGGGACTGTGCCCTACCTGGGCACCTTCCTGACCGACCTCACCATGCTGGACACTGCCCTGCAGGACCACATCGAGGTGAGCTCGGGCAGGATGGGGGGCACCTGGCTTGCCTCTGCCCTCTGCTGAGTGCTGGGAGACACACAGACTGTGGCAGGAAAGAGCAGGATATGGCTGGACACTGTGGGAGGTGTGGCCGCCCAAGCGGGCAGGGTCCTAGTACGGGTCACGGTCATGGCCACGTGAGAGTATGTGACGAGGACGCCTGGGCAGCAGTGGTTCGAGCAGGTCCTCAGGTGCAGTGGATGGAGGGCAGGCGTGATGAGCTCTGACCGCCTCCTTGGCCGAGAAGGGGCCCGGCCAGGGTTGCGGATCCCCAGTGACATCAGTTTTTTTTTTTTTTTTTTATTGCCACCTGCCCTGGGGTTCTCGGCCCGCCCCCTCTTCCTCCTTGTCCGTGACATTGACAAAGCACTGAGTGGACAAGGCTGGGATTTGAAGTGAGCTTTGGGGACTGCTCGGTCTCCTGGGGTGGCTGGCATTCCGCCTCTGCAGCGGCTCTGCGTTCCCCAGGCCCTGTTGTCTGTCCACGTTTGTGGTTTCAGCACGTTGTGGGAACGGCCATCGGGGTGGGGAGTCTGGGGCCGTGACCCTGGTGCTGGGAGAGGCAGTTGGGGTAAGGACCGAGTCTGAAGTTTGCACGGAGCCGTGTGGAGGAGGCCCCCTCTGACAGGCTCCCAGTGAGGCCCTGGCCACGTGGAAAATGGGCGTGAGACACTGACTCCGTTTGCGATGCCCGCTGCTGCCTCAGGGGGTCCAGGCAGCCTGCCTGCCCTGTGCTGTGAAGTGGTCCTCCCTTCCCGAGGCCACAGTGCAGCGCCTGTGCCCGTGAGAGCTCCGTCTGATCCGTGGCCACGTGGCCTGTGGCAGCACAGGGCCGTGGCCGCCTGGTGGGCACCGTGTTCACTGTTGCTGTTTTTCGCAGGGCGGCCTGATCAACTTTGAGAAGCGGAGAAGGGTGAGTGGGGGCCTGGGCCCACGCTTGCTCTTGTGTTCTCCTGGGGCGTGACCAGGTGGCAGAAGTGGGCACAGGAAGCATGGGGTAGCCCCTGCTGGACACACACGCTGGACCCCCGTGTGGGTTTCCTGTGCGCCCAGGAGGGCGTCTCAGCCTCCACTCCGGGGCCAGGACACCAGAATTCAGGGACCACGGGGAGCACCTACCACCCTGCCTCTGCTCCCCTCCTCCCCTCCCCTCCTCCCACTCTGCCCCCCTGCCCTCTTCCCTCCCTGCCCTTCCTCCCCTCCCCTCCTCCCACCCTGCCCCCCTGCCCTCTTCCCTCCCTGCCCCTCCTCCCCTTCCCTTTCCTCCCCTCCTCCCACTCCCCCTGCCCCCTCCTTCCTCCCTTCCCCACTCAGCTCCACTACCCTCCTACCTCCTTCTCTCCCCCTTCCTTTCCCCTCCCCTTCTCCCCTCCTCCTCCTTCCTCCCCCCTCCTCCTTCCTCCCCCTCCTCCCCTCCCTTCCTGCCCTCCCCTCCTCCTGCCCTCTCCTCCTCCCCTCCCCTGTCCCCCTCCCCTCCTCTCTCCTCCTCCCCCTCTCCCCGTCCCCTCCTATCCTTCTCCCTCCCCTCTTCCTCCACCCCCAGTCCCCCTCCCCTCCCCTCCCCTAACCCACTCCCCCTTCCTTCCCTCCTTCCCCTCCCCCTCCCCTCCTCCCTTCCTCCTCCTCTTCTCTCCCCTCCTCTCCCCTCCTCTCCTACCTCCTTCCTTCCCCCTCCCCTCCCCTCCTCCTCTCCCCCCTCCTCCCTCTCCCTTCCTATCCTCCCCTCCTCCTGCCCTCCCCTCCTCCCTCCTCCCCCCTCCACCTCCCTTCCTACCCTCCTATCCTCCTACCCTCCCTCCTCCTGTCCTCCCCCTACCCCTTCCTACCCCACCCCCTCCCCTTTCCCCCTCCTCCCCCTCCCTTCCTCCCCCTCCCCTCCTCCCCCCACCTCCTGGGCAGGAAGTGAAGCATATTATCACTGCAGCTGAGTTACCCTGGTGACAGCCCCTCCTTGGTGGTGGGTGAGACCCCTCGCGGCCCTGAGCCTGTGCCTGGCACTGCCGTGGCTGCAGTGGCGCGGGAGCCACTGAGGCAGTGGGGGTGATTTCCCACAGAGCCACACCCACTCCTGTGTGTGGGCCTGGCCCCGGGAAAGCCGAGCCCTCCAGTCGCGGGGCCTGGTCTGTGCACGGGGCGTCGCTGTCTGCTTGTCACATTTCGCGAGGTGCAGGGGCGGCACAGGCGGTGGCTTTCTCGCTCGTGTCAGAGAGAAAGGGGCAGAGGTCCGGAGCCAGGCCCTAGGCCGCTCGGCACCGGCCTTGGCGTTCACCCCGTGCCCGTGTGCCCTCGGCCTCAGGAGTTTGAAGTCATCGCCCAGATCAAGCTGCTGCAGTCGGCCTGCAACAGCTACTGCATGAGCCCCGACCCCAGGTTCATCCGCTGGTTCCAGGGGCAGCGGCTGCTCACGGAGGAGGAGAGGTGAGCGGCCTGCGGGGCAGGGCAGGGTGGGGCGGGGCGGGGAGCTGCCAGGCTCTTGGCCCTGAAGATCTCCCGGGGGCATCAGAGGTGCTGAGCAAGGCGGCTGCTGTCTGTGGGCGGGGCTTGCACATGGTGCACTTGGGAGAGCGGCAGGGGCAGGGCCTTGGCTGTGGCTGTGGCTGTAGCTGGCCGAGTGGCTCCCAGGGGCCCCGCAGCACCTCACAGCCTGTGCCACGGACAGGGTGCTGGGGGTACACAGAGGCGTTGCCATCTAAGCTGGGCTGGGGAGGAGAGAGAGGTTACCGGAAGAACTGGAGGGGACGTTGCAGACGCAGGGTTGAGTTTCTTCAGGGTGGCCGGGCCTAGGCCCGTCCGGCAGTATTTCTGCACTTCCAAGTGACGGGGAAAAGGAGCTGAGTCGTAGGGCACGTGTTGAGTCAGAGGCCTGCGAGCTCAGCCCAGCCGGGCAGTCGCTCTCTGTCCACGGTCACTGCCATCAGAGCCCAGCCGGGTAGTCACTCTCTGTCCACGGTCACTGCCATCAGAGCCCAGCCCGGTGGTCACTCTCTGTCCACGGTCACTGCCATCAGAGCCCAGCCCGGTGGTCACTCTCTGTCCACGGTCACTGCCATCAGAGCCCAGCCCGGTGGTCACTCTCTGTCCACGGTCACTGCCATCAGAGCCCAGCCCGGTGGTCACTCTCTGTCCACGGTCACTGCCATCAGAGCCCAGCCCGGTGGTCACTCTCTCTACGGTCACTGCCATCAGAGCCCAGCCTGGTGGTCACTCTCTGTCCACGGTCACTGCTGTGGAGCCCAGCCCGTGGTCACTCTCTGGTCACTGCCATCAGGGCCCAGCCCGGTGGTCACTCTCTGTCCATGGTCACTGCCATCAGAGCCCAGCCCGGTGGTCACTCTCTCTACAGTCACTGCCATCAGAGCCCAGCCGGGGAGTCACTCTCTGTCCACAGTCACTGCCATCAGAGCCCAGCCCGGTGTTCCCTCTATGGTCACTGCCGTTGGAGCCCAGCCCGGTGGTCATTCTCTCTACGGTCACTGCCATCAGAGCCCAGCCCGGTGGTCACTCTCTGTCCACGGTCACTGCCATCAGAGCCCAGCCCGGTGGTCACTCTCTGTCCACGGTCACTGCCATCAGAGCCCAGCCCGGTGGTCACTCTCTGTCCACGGTCACTGCCATCAGAGCCCAGCCCGGTGGTCACTCTCTCTACGGTCACTGCCATCAGAGCCCAGCCCGGTGGTCACTCTCTGTCCACGGTCACTGCTGTGGAGCCCAGCCCGGTGGTCACTCTCTCTACGGTCACTGCCATCAGAGCCCAGCCCGTGGTCACTCTGGTCACTGCTGTGGAGCCCAGCCCGTGGTCACCCTCTGGTCACTGCTGTGGAGCCCAGCCCGGTGGTCACCCTGGTCACTGCTGTGGAGCCCAGCCCGTGGTCACTCTGGTCACTGCTGTGGAGCCCAAGCAGGAGCTCTGTGGCAGCTGTGTCTCTGAGACGCACAGGGATTCTGATTGGCCAGCGCGTCTTAGTGGAAGTGCTTGGGGGTGTTAGCGGTTAGGACGCAGTAGCTGGCTGGGCCAGGCCGCAGGTGAGCCCGGCCGCAGCCGTGGCAGGAGCACCGCACACGAGGGTCCCCATGCCGGGAGGCGGCTGGGGTTGACGTCTGGCCTCACGAGCGCCCTTCTCCCCCCAGCTACGCCCTCTCGTGTGAGGTTGAAGCGCCCGCCGAGGCCAGCACCACCTCGCCCAAGCCCCGGAAGAGCATGGTGAAGAGGCTGAGCTTGTGAGTGCCGTCAGGGTGTGGGGACGGGGTCACGGCGGGGCACCAGGCCCAGGGAGGGACAGTGCGTCCCTGGTTTCTCTGTCAGCCACCCTGTAAGGCCCGCCCAGCCATGCTGTCTCCAGCCCAGAGCCCATCTGGGTGTGGGGACGGGGTCACGGCAGGGCACCAGACCCAGGGAGGGACAGCACGTCCCTGGTTTCTCTGTCAGCCACCCTGTAAGGCCCGCCCAGCCACGCCGTCTCCAGCCCAGAGCCAGGCTCTCGTCACAACCCATGTGAAGACCTCCAGTGGTCTGTCCGGAGGAGCCAGAGTCCTCGCACAGGGTCAGGCCCACGTGACCCACCCTGCCACAGCCGCCAGGCTTGTGCCGCCCGGGCCCTGGCACCAGCTGTCCCCACGGCCTATGCTGCTCCCCTCCCACCCTCACTGGCTGCACTGGCCGACAGTGCACACCGATCGGCTAGACAAACCGAGGCCGGGACCAGGGACGCTTAAGGAACAACACATGTCTCTGCTCCCCAGCGTGACCCACGAGAAGGTCCTTGTCTCCCCGTGCTACAGGGCAGGAGCGCGGGCACAGACAGCCCCCGGAGGAGCCGGATTCAAACCCCCAGTCTGGCTGAGAGCCTCGTGTGTAGCCGCTGCCGTCTAACTTTAGTGGAAGTTAATGAAAGTTAACTTTGGGGAGGAGGAGAGGGTAGGAAGGTGCAGTGGGAGTTGAAACGTCGGGGAGGCAGACGGTTTGTTCAGACTGTGTGCTTTGATCGTAGCCGTTTTTATACAAGAACCTCAGAGGGGGCCTGGTGGTGTCTCAGCGCGGTTCAGCCGCGGTGCGCGGCGCTGGCATCCACAGCGGAGCGCCTGCTCAAGTCCCGGCTGCTCTGCTCTGCTCTGCCTGCTGATGCGCCTGGGCTGGCAGTGGAAGTGGCCCAGTGGGAAGGTGTTTCTGTAGCCACCGTCTGGCCCAGGGGAGGCTCTGGGTGAGGGGTGTGGGTTCTGAACACCCCTTTCAGAAGCAGGAGCCCGCCTGTGAGCCCTGTGGCGCTGCTCTGCGCCCCAGCCCAGCAGCTGCAGGGCGAGCCCGCGTCGGTTCCTGCGGGCCTGTGGCTTGCACGGGCTTTCCTCGCCAGCTTGCAGGCTCAGCTGCAGTTCCAGCCACTTCTGCTGAGCTGTTCTGCAGAGCAGGGTGTAGGTCACTGGCTTCACCAGACGGGACAGGGGACTTCCTCCTCCGTGTTCTTTTTTTGACAGGCAGAGTGGACAGTGAGAGAGAGAGACAGAGAGAAAGGTCTTCCTTTTTGCCTTTGGTTCACCCTCCAATGGCCGCCATGGCTGGCACACTGCGGCCGGCGCACCGCGCTGATCCAAAGGCAGGAGCCAGGTACTTCTCCTGGTCTCCCATGGGGTGCAGGGCCCAAGGACCTGGGCCATCCTCCACTGCACTCCCGGGCCACAGCAGAGAGCTGGCCTGGAAGAGGAGCAACCGGGACAGAATCTGGCGCCCCAACCGGGACTAGAACCCCATGTGCCGGCGCCGCAGGCGGAGGATTAGCCTATTAAGCCACAGCACCGGCCCTCCCCAGTGTTCTTTGTTTAAAAAAATTCATTTTCATTTTATTTGAAAAGTAAAGAGACAGAGATCTTGCATCCTCAAGTTCACTCCCCAGATGCCTACAATAGTCGGTCTGGCCTAGGGCAAAGCCAGGAGCCCAGATCTCGGTCCCCCGTGGGGCAGAAACCCGAGTTCTGGAGCCATCGCCTGCTGAGTCAGGGCTGGAACAACACGGAGGCCGGCATCTCAGCCCTGCCCAAAGCATCTGCCCAGCCCCGGGAGCCCGGAAGGGGCGGGTGTGGCCGCTGACCCGCACGAAGCAGTGTGTGTCCTTGGGAGGCTGGGCGAAGCCAGCTGGGGTAGGACAGTCACTCCTCTTTGCTGGAAACTGTTTTCCTGAGAAAGCAGGAACTTACAGAATGCTGGGCGTGTGGGGCCCCCGGGGCTACAGCCCAAGTCTCGGCCGTGTCTCCCCCCACAGGCTGTTTCTGGGACCTGACATCATGGCCAGTACCACGCCCACCAAAGAGCAGCCCAAGTGCACGGCCAGCGGCAGCTCCGGGGAGAGCATGGACTCGGCCAGCGTGTCTTCCTGCGAGTCGAACCCCTCGGAGGCCGAGGAGGGCCCCCTCACTCCCGTGGGCACACCTGATGAGCCTCAGAAAAAGGTGGGCGTGCAGGGGCCGCGGCTCCCGGCTCATGGCCCACAGCATTTTGGAAGCTTGTCAGGAGCCGGGAGCGTTGCATTCGGCCCAGGGCCCCTTCCCCACAGAAACGGGTGGGTTTGCTCCTTTGGCCTTGACCTGCGGGTCTACAGGCAGGAAGGGAGCTGAGCTCACACAGGTGAGGGGCGGTGCGCAGAGTGGGAGGGGCAGCTGGTGGGCAGAGCTTGGCCCAGTGTCCTCGGTCCTCTTTCTGAGGCGCAAAGGTGGAGCCAGTCCTTGGGCAGTGGGCAAAGCCACCACGCTCACATTGGGCCACTGTGCGGATTCCCACGGGGACAGGAGCACAGGAGTGGGCAGCCGCACAGTGCAGGGCCCCGGGGCGCGGCCTGCTGGAGTCGGCAGCCTGGGGAGGACAAGGGCCGGAAGCCAAAGCCCGTGCCGTGTCCCGCGGGAAGGGAAGGTGACAGAGAAATCCTCGTTTCTCCACGACTTCCCGAGTATTTCCTGGCACGGAGCTGGGAGCGTCCCAAGCTGGCTGTGGTTTTCTGCACTGAGAATTGAGAAAGTGAGCGGACCTAGTGGTTTGGGGGCAGGACTTCCTGGTGAGACGGAGGCGTCCCTGCGTGGTGTCGGGCGGGAGGCGAGGCTGAAGGCCGCTGGCCGCAGACTCCCCCTGCCTGTCCTGCAGCCGATGTGGACGGTGGCAGAGCCGCTCCCAGGCGGCGTCCCCTGGGCCAGTCTCTGTAATGAGATGGCGGTGAGCGGTTGGGAAGCAGTCGCGCCAGCCTGCCGCGGTGGCGGCGCCGTGTCCGTCCACCAGCACAGGAGGCTGTGGCTCCGTGCCTGCCCGCTGCACGGGACGCGGTGCACGGAGCCCAGCTTCTGCCTGGGTGACCTCTGCAGGCCTTTCTAGCACGTATGAGCCTCCTCCGACAGCCTTCTCTCCTGGCCGCAGAACCTGAGCGAGGGGTCAGGGTGGCTTCCGTGGCTGCGGGGCGTGGCTGCAGCTGATCGGGCGCCGAGCTCTGGCCGCAGGGCGTCTTCAGTGCCCTGCACCTCAGAGCGGCCCTCTGCTGCCCTCTGCTGGTCAGCGTCCCTGAGGCCTGCAGAGAAGCAGGACAACGTGGCACCCTGCGTGTCACCTGCGGGCTGGGGAGTAGGTGGGGTCTGCCGGCCCCCATGCCCTTGTGACCACGCCTGCCCGTTTCCCCTCCAGCTGTCACAGTCCTCCTCGTGTTCCTCTGTCCACTCCACGGACACAAGTTCCTCAGGGATGTCGCCCTCCAACCCCCTGTCGTCCCCTGCGTCCTGCAGCAGCAACCCCAAGACCCACAGGCGCTCCGTGTCGGGGACGTCCATCACCTCGACGGGGCAGCCGCCTGTGTACAACCAGCAGAACGAGGACACCTGCATCGTCCACGTCAGCGTGGAGGACGGCCGCGGCAACATGTACAAGAGCATCATGGTAGGGCCCTGCGTGACGGGGTGCACACGCATGTGTGTGCACACGTGTGTGTCTCAGCTGTGCCTGGGGCCTGTGTGCACACATGTGTACCTCAGCAGTGCCTGGGGTTTGTGTGTGCACACGTGTGTGTCTCAGCAGTGCTTGGGGTTTGTGTGTGTGCACACGTGTGTGTCTCAGCACTTCCTGGGGTGTGTGTGCACACGTGTGTGCCTCAGCAGTGCCTGGTGTGTGTGTGCACACGTGTGTGTCTCAGCAGTGCTTGGGGTTTGTGTGTGTGCACACGTGTGTGCCTCAGCAGTGCCTGGGGTGTGTGTGCACACGTGTGTGCCTGAGCAGTGCCTGGGGTGTGTATGTGCACACGTCTGTCTCAGCAGTGCCTGTGGGTGTGCTACTGGTGTGCACACGTGTGTGCCTCAGCAGTGCTTTGGGTGTTTGTGCACACGTGTGTGTCTCAGCTGTGCCTGGGGTGTGTGTGCACACGTGTGTGTCTCAGCACTTCCTGGGGTGTGTGTGCACATGTGTGTGTCTCAGCAGTGCCTGTGGGTGTGCTACTGGTGTGTGTGCACACGTGTGTGTCTCATCAGTGCCTGGGGTGTGTGTGCACACGTGTGTGCCTCAGCAGTGCCTGGGGTGTGTGTGCACATGTGTGTATCTCAGTGCCTGGTGTGTGTGTGTGTACACGTGTGTGTCTCATCAGTGCCTGGGGTGTGTGTGCACACGTGTGTGCCTCAGCAGTGCCTGGGGTGTATGTGCACACGTGTGTGCCTCAGCAGTGCCTGTGGGTGTGCTACTGGTGTGTGTGCACACGTGTGTGCCTCAGCAGTGCCTGGGGTGTGTATGCACACGTGTGTGCCTCAGCAGTGCCTGGGGTGTGTGTGTGCACACGTGTCTGTCTCAGCAGTGCCTGTGGGTGTGCTACTGGTGTGTGTGCACACGTGTGTGTCTCAGTGCCTGTGGGTGTGCTACTGGTGTGTGCACACGTGTGTGTCTCAGCAGTGCCAGGGGTGTGTTCCTGGTACATATGTGCAGGTGTGTACATCAATAGTGCATGTGTCGTTTTACACGTTAAGAATTGCTCAGACTGGGGCTGGCGTTTGGCGCGGTGTTAAGATGCCCACGTCCCACGTGGGCTCCTCCTGATGCAGCCCCAGTGGGCAGCGGGTGGCTCAGGTGCTCGGGAGGCTGCCACCTACAGGGGAGACCTGGACTGAGTGTGCGGCTCCTGGCCGTGGTCTGCTCCGGTCACGCTCGTGGGCGTTAGGAAGGCCTGGTGGGAGAGCTCTCGGCCTTCCTGCCTTTCCGGTTGGACAGGCAGGTGGTTACAGTTGCTGAGGCTGGTGTCGCCCTTTCAGGACGGGCAGTGTGGTGGCTCTGCCCGTGGAGGCAGGCTCGGGGTCGCTGACTGCACCTGCAGCCACTGGCGTTGGCAGGCTGCTTCCCCGCCGTTATCTGGGTCTTCCTTGAGGGTGAGGGGTCGCGCAGGCTGGAAGTGCTGTCCGGGCAGTGAGCAGCCGCTCGCTGGCGGCAGACCAGCTGTTGCGGGCGGCTTGGAGCGGCCTGTATGTTCTGACCTGGTGGCCTCTGGAGCCTGCACACTGCCTCTCGTGGCGGTGGCCCTGGGGGTATGGTTTGGCACACGTGGTACTAGAACAGACAGATCTAGCACGGCCGAGTCTGTCACGGCGGAATCCTACATCGTGATCACGCCTGTCTACGTGGTCTGGGCGGGACCTCTCACGTGAACTCACGGCGTGCAGGCACCGTGTCACACGCCCAGAGGAAAGCTTTGTGAAGGCCCCAGCGGTGGCTAGGGCCCGGCTCCGGACAGAGGGTCACAGGGTCTACTCCCCAAGTGCCCACGACAGCCAGGGCTGCGGCCAGAGCCAGGAGCACGGAGCTCTAGCCGAGTTTCCCGTGCGGGTGGCAGGGGCGCAGGCCCGGGGCCGTCTCTCACCACGTTTGCCAGGGCTCCAGCCGGGAGCTGGGTCAGAAGTGGAGCGGCTGGGACCTGAGCCAGCTCGTGGATAAGGGCCGGCGCGTGGCAGGGGCGGCGCAGCCCTGTGCGCCACAGCTCCCGGCCCGTCTCCTTCTGGAGTGGAGCAGCTGCCTGGAGCCGCCCGTCCGTCGGTGCGGCCGCGCTCAGGAGCCGCCTCTGTCCCCACAGCTGACGAGCCAGGACAAGACGCCCGCGGTGATCCAGCGGGCCATGCTGAAGCACAACCTGGGCTCGGAGCCGGCCGAGGACTACGAGCTCGTGCAGCTCCTCTCAGAGGACAGAGGTGCGCCACACTGCCGTGGGCGGGTGGGCGGGCGGGCGGCCCCCGGGCCCTGCTGGGCATGTGCCGGTTCCAGGCCATGGGCCCCGGGCCCTGCCCTCCCCAACTCGCAGGTGCAACAGGCCGTGCTGGTGTGCGGGCGCGCCTCTGCCGTCTGCCTAGCTCTGCGTTGGGGCAGAGTGGGGACTGCGCGTGCGCACTCCACTCACCACCCGGAGGCCGCGGGCATGGACCGGCCGTGCGCCCTCCCCGCCGCTGAGCGCCTCCCTCCTCTCCTTTGCAGAGCTGGTGATCCCGGACTCGGCGAACGTGTTCTACGCCATGAACACCCAAGTGAATTTTGACTTCATCCTGCGCAGGAAGAGCCCCGTGGACCAGCAGGTGGCGCTGCGCAGCCGGAGCAGCCTCACGCTGCCCAGGACGGCCAGGCGGGGCTGCTGGGGCGGCCGGCACAGCAAGGTCTCCCTGTGACACCAGCGGGGGCTGCGTCAGAGCACCATAGGCATCGTGGGAAACCGAGCAGGAGGAGCGGCTCACGGAGACCCTGTGGGCCCACGTTTATGGACACGCGTGTGCTTGGCATGTTTGTGTGACCGCAGGGGCCTGGGGGCGGAGGTTGCGCTTCACTGGGGAAGTAGGGACCGAGACCCTGGTCTTCCCCCTCCCGGGTGGACGCGTCCTGTGGCCAGCGACCTGGTGCCCAGCACCACGTCTGAAGGTTTCCTTCTTGATCGAACCCGCTGCAGAGGCGAGCGCTGCCCGGGTAGGACCTGCCCGTGCCGTGTGCCGCAGCCCTGGCACCGCCGACGGACGCGGCAGGGTCGCTGTGCAGGGAGCCGAGTCCCTGGGCACTGCTCAGCCCATGCCATGGCGGCGTGGGCCCTGCAGACCATGTCTCCCGGAGGCGTCCGCGTCTCGCCTGCTGTGGAGAGGGACGCGAGAGCCCCCTTCCTCTACACGGGCCAGGCAGGCAGTCCCCAGGGCCCACGCCGGCTGCCTCGGTGACACTGCTCGGTGCCAGCACCACTCTGCCTGCCGGCTCCGGGCCGGCCGCAGTTTGACAGAGAAGCCATATGTAGGACATCAGCGTGCGTAAGCACTCCCAGAGTGTTCTCTTTAAGCAGAAATTCTCAAAATACCGGGTTTTATTCCGAAATAAAGAGCGCGTGCCCGGAACATGCAGTGCGGGTCCTGGTGCGAGCTTGTCCCGCTCCTGCCCCGGCCCTGGCGGCCCCAGGCTGCAGGGGCTCCTCGGGCTGGGGGTCCGCGATATGGACCCGCGCGCGCCCGCGTGGCCTCGCTCTCCGTGGCCTCTGGCAGGCTGGACAGTGGCCGCACGTGCTAGAGCGTGGTCGGAGTGGGGAAGTGGGTGCGTGTGTTTGCTTTGTCATTGGAAATCCGAGTCCATGGAACAGGGCTTCCAGCATCCCGGTCGCCAGGATCCCGGTGACGGCGCCTGCCTGCTCCTCTCCCTGCGCCCTCACCTGGCCACCCTTTGGTTCAACCACCGACTGGGCGTGGGCCCTGGTGGCACGTGCTGCGGGACCCACTGGGGCTTATGTATAGTCCGACGCCCTGGGCCCTGCCTTCTGGCTGGGGTGAGTGTCGTGGGAGGGAACAGGGCTGAGGCTGGCGTCACGCCCCGTGCCCGGCGCTGAGCTTCCCACAAGCCCTCGGGCTTAGTTCCAGTGGACTCCTGGGTGGGCCCAAGTCACCACATTCTCTGAGCCCTTGGGGGTTCTAGGAAGGGCCCAGCTGTGTGTGAGACGGGGACTGGTGGGGGGCAGTGGGGGGTGGGGGAGTTCTGTCTCTGGGAGGAGGGGACTGGTTTCAGGACCCGTCCGGAAGTGCAGTGCCCGTTTTGTCTGAAGACTGCGCGGGCTGGGGGTCTGTGTTCACGCTGACTCCCAGGGCCTTGGGGGCAGATAGGGCGGCGAAACCTGCAGCACCACGCGGGCCTCGGCCGCCCTTGGGGTCTCCCCAGAAGGCCCAGGCCGGCTGCAGCTGACGGAGGGCGAATTTCCCCGGAGAATGCATTCGAGAGGCATTTGGGTCTCAGCTGCTGGGCCAGACACCTGTCCGTGTTCTTTCCCGAACCCGTGACACTCCTCTAACCACAGCCGGGGACCCAGATGGCTTCCACCCTGCAGCTCGGCCATCTTTTCTCCCAGGCCCAGCGAGAACACAGAGTGGGGCACCCACCAGTGCCTCCACATCGGACCTCAGTCGCAGCAGTGCCTTCCTCCCAGGTGCCCAGGCGGCCAGCCCGCCCACAGCCACGGCCACGGCCACGGCCACGCAGAGTTGAGCAGACGGCAGTAGGGCTCGGGGCGGGGCTGCACACAGCCGAGGGAGCCGCAGGGGAGGCGGCGGCAGAGGCGATGGGGTAGAGTTGGCCTTGGCCAGACGCCAGCTCCACCGGTGCCTGTACTTGACCCAGACAGAACGAGGAGCCGCCTGGCGATGCCGCTGGAAGAAAAGCTGGGGGACTTGGTGCCCTCAGAGAAAGCGCCAGGTCAGCCGGGAGCCCGGAGAGCTCGGCGATTCTGGCTCGGCCTGTGGAGGCGGTTCCCGGGTGTGCTGTCTTGGTGGCTGTGTGCGAAGCCTGCGTTGCAGCAGGGTGGAGGTGAGCAGACGCAGGGTCAGGGCCGTGCTTGCTTGAGAGCCTGTGTGGCCCCTCTGTGCCAGGCCCCCTCTGTCCTCGGTCCCCTGGAGCTCCGGCTGCTGGCCTGGGCACTGCCGCTGGCCCCTCCAGCCTATTTCTCTCGTGGGTGAGCCTAGGGGCACAGATCAGGGTGCTGAGTCCACCCCACAGCCGGGAGGCGGGGCCGTTTCTGACCCAGGGACTGGCACGGTCCCTGGGCGGGCACGGCAGAGCCCACAGGGGAAACTGCTTGTCTCCATTCTCCCCATCGCCGGTTAACACAGTGCCGTTTGCCGTGCCATTTCAGTTTCTTGCAAAGGGCAGGGGGACCCGCGCGCCGAGTTCCTGGAGAACAGCCATTTCCCAATTGCTGCTGTGTGGGCAGCCCCTGCCCCTGCCCCGGTGTTGGTGTCGGGGTGGCCAGAGCCTCGCGAGGGAGCCCAGAACTCGCCCACGCCACGCTGCGGGCCCGTTAGCCCATGGCCCAGCACACGCTGGTTGGGGAAGGCAGTGCCTACGTCGGCAGCCAGCAAATCACCATGGGAGGCTCCTGGGTGGATTGGGGCCCTGTGTGTCAGTGCACGTGTGTGAGTGCATGTCTACACGTGTGTGTGTGTGAATGCACATGCAATCTGCCAATGCATGTCTGCAAGCACACACATGTGTATCAGTGCACGTGTGTATCTGTGCACAATGTGTATCTGCGTTAGTGTATATGTGTGTACACATGTGTATCAGTGCACGTGTATGTGTGCACACATGCGTACCTGTGTGCGTTAGTGTGTGCATGCATGTCTGAGTACACGTCTAATGTCATGTGCACACATGTGCGTGAATGCGTCTGCATGTGTCCGTGCGAGTACATGTGCGTGTAAATGCATCTGTGCACACGTGCATGTGGAAGTGCAAGTCTGCACGTGTGTATCCGTGTTAGTGCATGTCTGAGTATGCATGTGTACACATGTCTGAGTGCATGTCTGTGCACTGGGTCCGTGTGTCTACACATGTGTATCTGCATGTCTGCACAGCTGTACATGTGTCTACACGTGTGTTTGTGTGAGTGCATGTCAGGGAATATGCACGCACATGTGCATATCTGCATGTGTGTGCCTGCGTGTCAGTGCACGTCTACATGTGTGACACTGGACAGATGGACGCGGTGAGAGCAGGTGCGCGTGAGCACGGCGGGTGGCAGCCAGCTGAGCGCTCCCTGCTCTCCCCTCGCCTCTCCCCGCCTGCGCCCTGGCCGCACCCCAGCTGCTGGCGTCCTCAGACCACACCGTTGTCACGGGCGGCTCTGCAGCCATCGGCGAGGCCGCCTTGCCGCCCGTGGGAACCGAGGGTCACCCGCGGCATCTGGAAGTCGGATCCCGGGGAAGGAGCCAGGATGACATGTGGCCACCTCCAGGAGGGCATGGCTGGGGGCAGACCAAGGAGCTGAGCAGAGCCGGCCCCCGCCTCCCCCCCCCCCCCCCCCGGCCTGCTGTCCTCACCGAGCTGTGGCGGTGACGGAGCCGCATTGCCTGGCTGGCGAGAGCCTCAGAAGCACAGCCGGAGGGCCTGGGTTCGAGTCCCGGCTCGCCTGCAACTGTGCAGCCTAGGAAGCAGCAGGGGGTGTGAGTTCTCAGGCCTCTGCCACGCGGCAGAGGCGGAGCTGCGGCCTGGCCAGCGTTTGGCGAGGGGACCAGCAGGGGGCGAGCTGGCGCTGCAATCAACAGGTGAGCAGCAGCTCCGGGAGAGACTGGCACTTCGGCGTCGCCCAGGGCTCTCAGCCAGCAGGAACCGGTCTCACTTTGCAGGCACCAGCGTCTTACTGGAAACTTCGGGAGGACAGCATCACGCCTGGAACTCCCTCGAAAGAACGGCCGTGGTGTCCGTGAGAAACCCAGAGCGGGAGCCCGCGGTTCCCGCCTCCAGCTTCCGGTCGCCACCCCACACGCGGAGGCCTCGGCCCTGTCCACGCTCCCGCACCCGAGGGACCAAGGGCCGGCAGCGTTGAGCAAAGTTTTCTTTAATTTTTCACACAGCCCCCGCGGGCCAGTAGTTGTCCCCAGGGGAGGCGAGGGCGAGCCCGGGCGGGCGGGCCCCACGCAGGCTGCGCTCCCGAGTGCCCGCGGGAGGCCGGAGCAAGTCCAAGGTCTCTTAAGAACTCAGGCCGTCAGACCAGCTGACAGGGAAGCACTAAGAAACGACGCAGAAACCAGCTGGGGCTTCCTCCTGGCCCACACCCGGCACCTGCACCTGTCGGGAGGAGGAAGCCGCCGCGCCCCTCTGCGTTCCCCGGACGCGACCTCCGGAGAGGGGGCCTGGGAGCGGGCTCTCGGGAAAGGCTCCCCAGGGCTGGAGCCTCTGCCCGGTCGGGCAGGGCCGGGCGTCCACGCCGCCCACGCCCCAGGGCGCCTTGGCAGCTGCAGCGTTGCCCACGTGCTGTAGAATAAATAATCCCGGGGGGGGACCCAGCTGCTGGCCACAGGGACCCCCCCACCATATCACGTCTCTCCTAAATAGCCCCTGACTCGGACACCTGCGGGGACCGGGCCGGACCCAGGCCCGCCCCCAGCCAACGCTGGCGAAGGATTCCCCCAGGTGACCGCAGTGCCGGCAGCGCGCACTCCCGCACGCGTGTTCAGGCCACGTCTGCCAGCTGCTGCTTCGTCACCGCTCAGAGAGGGGACAGCTGGGCGAGGCCTGGTGGCAGTGACCTCGCCCTTCGGCCGGCCCCTCCCCGCCAGCACACGTGGGAGCACTCTGCTCACGGGGCTCTGGCCACTGAAGGCAGGACCACCGGGCAGGGCGCCCTCAGAGCTCGTCCCGCGAGGGCGCGGTGCCCATGGAGGCGGGCGGCGGCAGCGCCTCCGAGTTCTTGGCGCTGCCGTGGATGCGCCCTTGCTTCCGGGACTTCCAGGAATGGGTCCTGTCCCAGTCGGTGGCCACTGTCTCGTTGTCCCAGATGGTCGAGGTCTCGGTGTCGCTCAGGTACCCGGGCTGGCCCGTGTAGTGCGTGGGGTGGATGAGCAGCGGCTCCGCGGAGAAGGCCTTCAGGTCCCGGGACTGGTAGTGCGCCTTGTACTCGGCCCTGGAAGAGGGGGCGGGCCGCGTCCTCCCACTGCCGGCGCGGGGCCACCGTCCCGGGCAGACAGCTTCCCCACACACCTGCAGAGGGCCCCGGGCGGTCGGGGATCAGGTGGGGGGCGGGGCGGAGGGGGCAGGGGCAGGAGGTCAGGCAGGGGTGGGGGGCGGGGGGGCGGGAGGTCAGGCAGGGGTGGAGGGCGGGGGTGGCGGGGGCGGGGCGGGAGGTCAGGCTCCCCCTGTGCACTGGGTGGACACCATGGGCCTCCTGTGCCTCCTGCAAACCCCAGGGTGCTCCTGGCTGGTGAGCGCACGCGTCTCAGATCTGGGCGGTGGCCAGAGCACAGCCATGAAGCCGGGGGTGGGGGGGTGGGGGGGTGGGGGGACTCAGGCTGTGGGCCGCCTGCAGGAGGCCTTGGCCTGTGCCGCAGCAATGGCCAGGGGACCCCAGCAGTGGGAGCAGCGCCCT